CTCTTATTTTTTGCAAACCACTAAAACAACCTTGACAATTGCACGCTGCCAAAAGACAGGCCTGAATTAAGCTAATATAAACATTATATTGAAGAACTTCATGATATTACCCCAATAAGGCTGGTTTCTCTGTTGAAAGCATGAGCAGATTATTCTTAGAGGTAGAATGACTACCTCTAAGAGCATTCATTTCCAGTCAACCAAGAAGGGAAAACTGCTGCTTATTCATGTGAGCAAAAGTTAAGAGTAGACATTTAATGAGCTCTCCTCGGACAAGGAGAGGAAGGAAAGAACAGTCGTGGAAAGAAAACAAACATGTGAAAGAGCTATCTTTTTCTCCATGGTGTATACAATCACATGAAAAACAAGAGATAAGATTAAGAGCTGTGGTCTGAGAAAAGAATCCAGACTTCCAGTGACTTCATCTTGTTTTAGGACAGCTGATTCCAAGAAGTGGGTTGGGAGCCAATATATAGAACCTTTAGTACCTGTCAGCATCAGCAGTTTGTTGGGTTAGAGACTGTAAACAGCTAGCTGCTCACTAGGATGTGTTCCTGAAAAAAGGGCAACAAGTATGGGACTGATAATTACCACATGGTAGTCACTGTTTGAAATCATATAACAATAATCCAACAAGGAGAATTCCGAACTAAATCCAAGTGTTGAACTAGGGATGATTTTTAGCTCCCATTCCTTCTCTCACCGGAAATCAGCAGCTGGGCAGGGGAATGAGTTGAAAGAACAAACTGAAAGAAAATTTGAGAAAATCCCCTCTCTTTGAAGACAAAGAGAGACTGGGGTTACTAAGGATAATGGAAAAATGGAAGGCAAGAGCAGAGACAGAATGTTTTCTTTGAGCCTCTGGAACTGGCCAGAGAGCTTATGTTAAGCCACAGAGAAGTCATCAATGCTGTTCTCTCACCTCAACTACCGGGATATCATGTCTGAATTGTGCCAATAGTTAGTACTTTATATAAAGTGTGCTACTTATATACCACCCCCCATAACACTAAATGCACTCTCTGGGTAGTTTACAATTTAATTATGCAAGGTAAACATTGCCCCCCCCCCAGTACTCAATTTACCATCCTCAGAAGGACAGAAGGTGGAGTTAATTTTGAGCCGCTATCTAAACTTGTCAGGAGTGAACTCAGGCCATAAGTGGCATCTTGGCTGCAGTACTGCAATTTAATCACTGCACCACAAAGCGCTCCCACCCCCGCCAAATTCCTGGGACGTGACACAGAATTATTCTGTGGATACCTCTATTTTTCTACAAAGTTACAAACCATCTCCCGGAAATATTCTATGAAAGGGCAAAATGTGTGGTCTTTTTTTCACCTGATATACTACACTCTGATGGTGCTCAGGGAACCTTCTGTGACCAAGATTTTCCCTTGTCCTTGTCCCTTACTTACCCTCTACATATGAATAAGTACGTTTAGAAAAGGAGAAACAAACTACAATTTACTTAACAAGCACTGTAAATAGTTTTGCAAACAGTGTTTACAGCCAGTATAGGCATGTAAGTATTGTCAGACTGCCACTCCCCGTCAGCCATAAGGAGCATTGCCAATGATGAGAGATGACGAAAGTTGAGGCTCAACTATGTCTGGAAAGACAGACATTTCCCACACTTGCTTTAAGCAAACACACGTTAGCTTCATCCTTATACATTCCATCCTCTCAGACATCTCATCCACAACAAGAATCTCTCTCTCTCTCTCTCAGAGTATTTTTAACCAAGGGAAAGTATTACATCAGCTCCCTCAGTCATCATGGTTGAATCTAAAAATCAAGTTCATCCAAAATAAGAGACTGTAACTGGTCTTTTAACAGATTAAAATGGTACACATCTTAATTTTAGCCTGATTTTAACCTGCTTTAAAGGAGAGATGCATTATTTTAAAAAAGCAGTGATAAATATATTACAAGGCACAAGTTTTTCCAAAATCCAGGTGACAATCTGCAAAGGGCAAAGCAATGAATTGCCTCAATACATTTTTTGTTCAACCCAAGTAAGAAATTGGAGTCCCCCGAAGCACACACGAAATGGAACTTCCCTTTCCAGGCCTGCCCCCCATCCCTCCCAGTAATCCAACAGGTTGACTGACCGACAGCTGTGAATAGTCCCAGCCCATACTGTAGCCACACTGCTCTCTGGATGAGCCAGCCCCACTGCAAGAAAAGGAACAGTGGAAATGGTTTCCTGAAGTCTAGAGAGATAAGAAGCACCACATGACCCATTGTGAGAGACATTCTAAAATTTTACAATTCAGCAAACTTTTAAATGTCTTCAAGTTAAAGGGTAAAAAAGTAAACACGGAGCACAGTTATCACTGCATGAGGACCTGAACTACAGGTTTCAGTCTGACTGAAACTGTCTCCAGACAACACAAGTTTCTTTTAAAAGGAAGAGAAGATGCAGTAACATTTATGTAGAACTACATTTATTTGTTTACAGCCAAACTAGGAAGTTAAACATCCACTGTGTGCAAAATACAAATTTCCATGTGATGGCTTTAAATACAGAAAATGTATTTTTTTTTAAAAAAAAAACAGTCTAATAAAATGTTCAGTTAAGTTCCAGAGGCCAAATAAAATAAAATAAAAATTTAAATACTTAGGAGGAGAGGGACAGAATCCTCATGGACATTGCTTAAGAGATGAAGGATCTGCAACAGAAATGAATAAAGTATAGCAATGTACAGAGAGATAGATCTTTTCTTCAGAAGCCTCAAAGAGCTGAAACATGCAGAAAGCTTAGGTTAATCACAGCAGCAACAACAAAAAAGGTCACTCTGTTAGGAAACATCTGGATAGCTTCTTAGCTCTTCTTTCTGATTGTGGTGATGGAAGAGTTAGAGAATGTAATGGAGAATTGCTGCATCTAATTTTCTTAAATTAGATTTTCAGTGCTTTGACACTGAAAGCATGAGTTATAACAAAAATATACAAAAATCCTATGCAGTTGCAAATGATACCAGAGATTTGTACTTTTCCTCCTTTTTTAAATAAATGGGCAGCCTCTCATTTAACCCTCAATCTGTTTTCTTAACCCTGTCCCTGCAGTGTCAATGAGACTCTGCCCTCACCAGAAAAACTCACAAGATCTGTAACTATCAAGGGAGAAAACCTCACTCCATCATACTGCTGCTGAGCCAGTTTGACTTTGGGTTTAGGTCACAGTCTTGCAAAAATTATAGAACTACATGCAGCACAGAAAGTGGTTAAGTTCATTGCTTATCACCAGTGGAGTCACTGGTATTGTCCAACAGGTGCTCATGGTAACAGCAGGCAACACATTACAAGTCACTGTGTTTCAGAGGCCACGAAGCTAAATACTTTGAGGAGCCTGAAAGGTCTTGTGGGGAGAGACAGCAACTTGTGAGTGACAGCCTTGCAACTGAATTGTACGCACACCATTTAATAATAAAGTGCAATGGGAGGACAACTGTTTTTCCGTCTGAGGCTGTGTTCTGCAAAAGTGCATGCCAGAATAAAACTGTTAGTCTTTGAGCTACAACAAAGCTCTTGTTTTTTTAACATAACTACACTTTTAAAAGATACATGCACTGGAAGTGAATGGTGCTTCTTTAGCAGAAGAGTTTGATTGTCACTCTCTTACATCTCATTTCTTTTGACCCACACAGCATTTTACAGAGTTGGATTTAAAGCTCTCAGTGAATTCCCTTGGCCTTTGCTTTAAGCTAGACAGTGAGGTCATGAAGGAGGGAGAATTTCCTCCATTCCTTGCTTGATATCCTAGGGCCTTTTAAACACCAGAAGCTGTAGTAGCCAGCCAATATAATCCAGTCTTAACTTGTTAGGATAAATCTCTAGAATGTAGAAATCAGGGCTGGCACATACACACTATTTGCAAAGTCTGCTTCTGCCTAATCGCTCCCTATTCAACAAGGGGTCAACAGAAATGCCCACCCTCAACAAAATACATGCTCCCCAACAGCTGTGACAGTATAACCCCACAAAATCCACCGTATGCTGATGTCCTGGCAACACTACATTGGCATTTGAGACTAATAATGCACTACAAAACTCCAATATAATGGAACACAAGATGCCTCAAAACTCCCCAAAACTGGCAATTTAATGTTAGAAACAATTATGTTGTATTTGCATTTTATGATTTCATTCTAGAATACTGAGTATTCTGGAAAGTTTTGTCAAATGACAATGTATCGAAGTATCTATTTGATTCTAAATGATTTGCCATCCAGATATTTTTAGAAGTGTTTTTTAAAGCTAAATGGCAATTCACCATTCGCTCCTAACACCAGTAGTTCCACAACATCTTAATAAATAAACACAGACTGTTACTTGAACTAGGGCACACTTAATCTTTTAAACATTCCAGAAATAAGGAAATAACACCTGTTTATTATTCAGTTTAACTAACTTGTTAAAAGTCTTGCATGCATGATAAGAAAAATCATATGGGCAAGGGTTGGGAGAGAGGCCATATGCTTTGAATGTTGAACTACAAAACAGGTTAAGTGATCATGCAGAGACATTGCATCTTAGTAACCACAAATGCACATACACACAGAGCTCCAAATGGTCTTTGTATCACTGACAGAAAGTATTAGAGATTAGCCACAATACTCAGAAAATGGTAAGAATCAGAACAAGCATCTTACAGCAGAAGCTGCTCAGCCAATGAGAGGGTGTAGCACTGGAATGTTGAAATGAACTAAAGACAACAGAAGAGATTGGAAGAAAATACAATCAAAATAAGCTAACAATAAGCCTATGATCAGAGAAAGGGACACTAAAAAAAAAAGTGATACAGCAAAGCAGAGGAAAGTATGACCCAGTGAAATTATTTTCCTTCCTTCTGATAAACCAAAAGGAGCATTTAACAAACATACCAGATAAAATTCAAGTATCAGAGTTAGAGAAGACCATCTCTTAATGAACAAAGATGTAGATGTGAACAATCATCCTGACACAAACCTCTGTCTTAACTAAACAATGTTCCATTTGTCTGAGAATGATTTTGGACATGAGCTGGCCATACAAATGGAATCCCATTTTTTTTTGTTTCCCAATTAATCTTGAAAGCTATGCTTTCTATCAAGCCTCCATTTAATGTGCAGATAAAAGCACCAAAATAATCAAACATACATGTATTTTTGGTGGATATGTGTTTGACATTATGTATGTCACCAAACGCATATCTACCAAAAATACATGTATGTTTGATTATATTAGTGATTTTTTTTAGTGCCCCGTGGCTTCCAGGACCAGTTAAAATACAAATCTGAAATGACCTTGGAGTTCTGATTATCTAAATTTTTCAAAACTGGCTTCACCACCAGCAGAATTTGAAATAAAATTGCACGGTACTGTAAACTAATGTGGGTTACTTTCCAAATACATTGATTGTATTAAAACGCTAATACAAATTAAATTTCAAATAATTAACAGCAGTCATATTACAAACATTTGTTAAAAATAATTTTGATTGTTTACCTTAGAGAATGCTTTCCACATTTTACATGAAAATCATGACATTTTTTAAAAATACCACATTGTATAGTTAACGAGTATTACAATGCCCAGGCAACATAAACTGTATGAACTTTCTATTTGTTTTCTTTAAATAAAAAGCCTTGCATGAACAGAAGAAAAAGAGGTCTTAAGAATAAGGATGGATCTACACTTTTATCAACTGGATCAATATGACTTACAATCTCCCCTTCAAAACACTGCATATGGGGTGATATCACATAATATCAAAACAATCTATGGAGTTTCACATGGTTATTTTTCCACATGTGCAAACCATTCATTGATGCTTTAGTCATCAGTTGATGAACATGCACATATATTTTGGGTATGAAACAAAAACAAATATGAATCAGACTCAGTAAGCTGGGAGCAATGCCTAGGTATTTCTTTCTTTTTAATTTAATTTTACTATGCAACTACTCAGACATCTGGGATGTGATGAAAACAGGACGTACCGGACACCATTCATGCTTCCTGTTCTTTCTGCAACTTTAAGTTGCTATACAAACATCTGGGTGCACAGTAGCCACTTGAAGTTTTGTTTCCCTGAGAGTTTGTTGTGACAAGTGGATTGACAAGAATGGTTGGCCACATGCAGGAAGCCAATACATGGCTATTATGTGTCATAGTAAGTTAACTCATATGGACATTTACCTCATAACTAAAAGAAACCAACGCTACGAACAAGCACCTTCCACATCCTTACCTATCAAGCTTATAAAAATTCTTATATGTAAACAAACCCATAAAGGTAGAACAGCAAGGATAAATGGTTGAACTTTTCCACTGTGCTCCTAATAATTCTTTTTGTCCTGCCCACTTAAATGGAGTTTAATTTCAAGTGTGCTTAATATTAAATCATAAACGTTCCAGTGAAACAAATTGGGGTCTTCCCCCCCCCACCCCCAAGTAGGAGTGCTTATGACTGAAGTCTACGATGGAATGGTGTGTCACCCCTAAAAACCATCAGTGTACCTGTTAATCTTTTGAGGGGGGAAAACCACTATAATATGCTCAAGAAATTGAAAACTTTCTACATAAGTAAATGATTAGGAGAATTACGACGGTATGTGTATCCTGTTTAAGGGCAAGCAAATGTTCCAAATGACAATGAAAATACAATTCAGCAAAGGAAAACCCACAGAAACACTTCATTCACCAAAACCAAGAACCAGCAGCCCCACCTTCTTGTAAGTGAATGGCAAAATGGCTTCTATTGGCTTCTCTTTCAGAAACTTAATGGCTGTGAGCCTTAGGGCCTGATCTTCTGATATGTGTGTGCAAGGTCTCACAAACAAGTAGCAAATATATATATTTGAAATATATATATTTCAAAATAAATTACTTTTGGAAGTTCTAAAAAGCCCAGAACTCCTTCTCAAGTGGCACAGGAAAACATGGCTGCACTACCCTCAGCAATGAGTAAGGGCTGCAGGTGGTACTAATTTGTGTGTGTCATATTTCTTGAAAATGTCTTTAATGAAAGACCTCAAAACAGAGTGGTGGCACACACAGAAGTGGAGAAAGGAGGCTGCCCGTGGTCAGGTGTAACCACTGACCTCTAGGCCTCCATCCTGCCTATACTCACAGCAGCTTTCCATGGATTCAGACGGGAATTGCTTCTTGCTCTCTATGTGGAGACAAGTAAGTCTGTGTTATTTACCCTCTCTCTCTAAGGTGAAATTCTGTTTCCAAAAGAGCTCAAAAGTGAACTCTCAGCCTGGGGACAGTAAATTAAAAAGAACAGTTTCTGGGTCATGAAACTGTTCAACTAGTTTTCTGCTAAGAAATGTTCATTTACAGGCACTGTGAGCCTTCACCAGACTTCTAAAAGAAAGAAAGCCTGTGCTTTAGATTAGCACTACTACTGTCAAAAATGGCATATAAAATTTTGTACATAGTAGTTTAACCTACAGAGATAATTGGTATCTATTACTTCTCAGAGCACCATCTTAATGTCTAGGAGACCTTCTCATGTCTGAAAAAAAATCCCACAAGGGAACTACTGACTCAATTCTAGAATCTTTCTTGGATGTTGTATATCAGTTATTTCAACACACTTAAAAATATCAGAGGGATTATCTAGGTGAAGGCTTTTACATTATAACATAGAAGCTGGCCTCGTCAATATCAAATAATCTCTCATGATGTGACAGATAGAACTGTTCCATTACTTGGAGATAAAAAAAATAGGCTAACACTGTATTTTTACTTTAACCAACTGAGAAGTCCATGATTTGCTCTTTGAATTTATTCACACAAGTTACAGAAAATGCACAATATTTTGAAAAGGATTTATCAAACAGGAGTCAATAAAAATTCTGGGCTTGCAGTACTTTTTAAATTTTTTAAAAAAACCTAAGCAAAATGAACAGACTTTGTAGCCCCCACAGCAAAGATAAAGCAAGAAGAAAGGGGGGAGGGTAAAGTATGTGCCATATTCAGTTTTCAAACAAAAAACCATAGTAAGCATTTGCTGTTGCTCTAGAAATGTATGAAAGAACTTTCTTTCACAGTCTTTAAAATAAGGATAATAAAATGTAAACCCAAAGGAATATCTGGTCATAACTAGAAACACATCCAGATTTTTTTTAAAAAATCTATCAAAAAAATTACAAATCCTTCATATAATCTCTATGGTCTGGAAATGCATCTGGACACTGATCTTCATGATCCAATAACAAAAACTGAAATGTTGTAACAATTGCACCATGATTATGAAATGAAGGTTTTGGCTCATTTAAAGCACATACTGAATTGAAATGTGTACATTTGTGTGATCGGAAGGCTGTTTGTTTTGGAAATCTGAAAGGCACAACACAAGTTTAGGAAGAACTTTAAACCCTGAAGAACTTCTTCACCAGTTCAAGCACGTTCTCACAGGACAGCTCCACTTCCCGGTAAATATGGGCAAGTAACTCTTGAAGCGCAAAAAAGAATGGCATACTGAAGCTTAGGAGTTCATACAAGTAGGCATAGTTGTATGCATTGTCCCTGAAATGAAGTCTGGTAGTGTGCAGGAAACCATGCATCCAGTTAGAGAGCCGTCTTGGAAGGTCAAGCAGATCCCTTGTCACCTTAAGAGGCCAGCTTAGAGTTTTCTTAAAGAATGAAGGCAGGATACCTGGGGACTGATCCTCTGAGCTGCTACTGACAGCACAAGCACTGTCCTCGGTGGTTTCTGCAGACATGGATTCTTCTTGCGTCCACTGTTCTGCTTCCTCCTTGAAAGAGACACAGCTTAACATTGCACCCATTCACCATTGTCTCAAGTCAAAGATAATAAACAAACAAAAGCTTAGAAAGGAGACGAATCATACTCTGCTCTGGATGCTTCCTGATCAGTCAACCCCTCACCCCAAGATAAACCTTTAGCAAGGGGAGGGGCATGGGGTGGTGTGCACTATGTTTCCCATGTTTTTTTTTTAAAAAACACTTTCAACAGATGGCAGCATGAGAGCTCAAGCAGATATAATGACTGGTTCTCATTTCATTATCCCACACTTTATTTTAATAAAGAGAGAAAAGCAGCCTTGGATGCTGCATGAAAGGAAAATGTGTGAGCCAGCAAACGTGTGCCCTTCCATCACTTATATCATTGTACTACCAAAGCTACTTCCCTGCCCTGCCCCTCACTATTTCTTCCTCTGTCATCCACAATGGCTTCAAGTCTTACCACAACGCAGGGGGCACCTCCATCCAGTTAAAAGGGAATAAATATGTTGAAACATTTCATTTCGCTACTCATCCAAGTAGTTTCTTCAGTCTGAGGAGAGATGGTAGGAGACCCCTCAAAATTGGTTTCACTTCCCCCTGGTCTGAATAGGTTCATTAGATGGACAAAGGGGGGGGGTGAGTGAAAATTGCACTTCTGCAGTCCTTCTCCACCCACTGTCACGGGTCATTAATGGTCGTTTTGGTGGGTGTGGTCCTGACACCCACTGTCATGGGTCATTAATGGTCATTTTGGTGGGTGTGGTCCTGATCTTACAAGCCTATTCAGACCAGGGGAAAGTGAAACCAAGGTGGAGGCTTTACCAGGGGTCTCCTACCAACTGTCCTCAGACTGAAGCTACTTGGATGCAGAGCAAAACATGTCCTCAGACTGAAGAAGCTATTTGGATGCATAGCAAAATGTTTCATCTGAATAAGAAAGAAGTCCAGTTGCCATGGCTCAATTTCCAGATAACCTCACTTGGATGAATGAAAATCTTCACAGAATAAAAATCTTGTGCATGATTTTTTTTTTTTTAAAAAAAATCTCTTGGAAGATAATGGAGTTGATCTCTTTATTTTCAGTAGCAATTCCACAAACAATCTCATTGGTACTTTCTTGCAAAAGGCAGCTACTGTATATCAGTCTTTTGCAGGGAGGACAGCAAAAAGTCAAATAGCACTTTTAAGACTACAAAGTTCACTATGCCATATGCATTTATGAACTACAGCCCACGTCTTGTCTCATCTGTTGTTTTTAGCCATCCTACCTACTGCAGGACATTCTAACAGTATCAAGGTACAGGGCAAGAAGGAGTTGCAAGGGCCATCTAGTTCAGCCTCACAGAAGGTAAAACCACAGCAGAAGCATTGCTGACAGACAGTCATGCAATATTTGTTTAAACAGAAGGAAAGTCCAACAGCTTCCAAGGTGGTTCATTCCACTGTCTCACTGTGAGGAAATTCTTCCCAATGTTTAGTCAGAAACTCCTTGTCTGTAATTTGAAGCCATTCATTTGGGTCCTAAACTCTGGAGCTATAGAAAACAAGCTTGCTCCATCTTCTACAAAACAATCCTGTAAATAATGGAAGATGGCTATCCCATCACCACTCAGCCTTCTTCAGGCTAAACAAGTCAAACTCCGTCAAACGTTCCTTACTAGCCATTTTGAAACTGGCAAGTCTTAGTAATGAAACTGTCATAGTCAGTATCCTCTGCATTTAAATTCTCTCTGCTCTCACTGTTAACATCCCACTCCCAGTGACATGCAGTGTATATGCCTGGAGCAATACAATGCTAACCCAAAACATCTGCAGCAATGGGCTGTAATCCAGGAACTCGTGCTATAACAAACCCGTTAGCCTTAAGGGTGTCGCTTTATCTGTACCTTGTGAATTTAAGAATGACAGCTCATCAAAGAGTCATATACAACACTGCAAATGAAATGCTGCAAATAAAACTTCTTTTCAAAACGCCACTCTGTTAAAGGTATGCGGCCATCCATTTTGAGCTCTGGCTCTGAATAAGCAGTGGCCTTAATGGATTCTCAGTTCCCTTAGAGTGGACTAATATGGGGATGATCGTATCACTTGAGCTCCACCAAGAAGAGTCAATATAAAACTCCACCATTCCCAATAATATAGAGTAAACATTTCCGTATGATTTTCCCATCAATTGACAGTATTTTGAACCCCACTAAAAATATATCTACCTGTTCATGAGTCTTTGGCATGGCTCTCCTCTTTCTGTGGGCATGCTTTGGTTTACATTGTGCAAAATGAAGCTTGCAGTAAAATTTACCTGGAAGACAACAGCAGTGTCATTATTTGCTTTCTCCCCAAATGGAATCAATACAGAATAACAGAATCCAAAGAAACCCTTTAATGTAACACATCTGTTCTGGATGAACCACTTCATATGCTATGCAGGAAACTATACCAATATTTACTTTTATTCTATATTAACACTACCTAACCTCACTGGAACTGTCATGGGGTAAACATATATTGGCAAAGGTACCAAAACTCCTATTATTTTGGAGTGGAGTGTTTATTTGAGTTTCAGATCAGAACTGCTATCAGAACCAAACATAAACATGTCACTTGTGGCAAAAGACAAGATGTTGCCTGTGCTCGGCACCAAAATCGAAGCGCATCTGGAATGACAGAGCTGCTGATCAGGCGATCGCAGTTCTGGGAGGAAAGATGCGCTCAGAATGCACACAGACCCATGGAAGGCACAGAGAGAGTGGAAAGGGGGTCTGGGGAAAATTGGAGGCCGCCAGTTATCCCTTGGTAATAAAAGGGGATTAACTGAGGCCTGAACCTAGCTCGTTGGTTGGTCAAGGGTCAACCTAGAATCCAAGTGGGAATTTGAATCCACACTACAGCAGGACCCCCCCACCCTTTGCCAAAGGATCAGCAATGTTCATGTCAATGGAAATGAATTCCAATAAAGTGTGGCCCATATTTAACCCATTCACCGGGTCTCATGTGGTTATTTGGGATAAGTGGGCAATGAGCCTAGGAAAGGACTTTCCCGGGAGAGCTTAAGAGTTGACAATGCTCATCTGGCTTGACAAGGGATAAGTGGGCAATGAGCCTAGGAAAGCGCTGGAGCTGTGAGAAGGACTTTCCCGGGAGAACTTAAGAGTTGACAAGGCTCATCTGACTTGACAAGGTCCTTCAGTTACTGTGGACAAAGCGGTATAGGGCTTCCAAAACAGGTTGGCAGGCAGTGAAGTTGTTGTAATAAGGGAGTTATGTGCTCCCTGTAATAACATACAATAATACTGAAACAACTACACTTTAAAAACACTTAAATATGCACACACACCTAATCACACTTTTGTGATTAAATTGTCCAATTTAGTTGCTAAAGAGTGCTTTCCCTGCTGGAGGAAGGACAATAGAGAGGGGGGGGGGCACCGTAGCCTCCTATGGGACCATATTCCACAATCTGGGAGTGGGCACTGGAAAGACCCATGTATGAAGAGGCCTTTTCCATGTACAAAAGCCTAGCGGGATGGCAGTTAAGTTTTACTTCAGCACAGATGATAAAACAGAATTCTTAGGTGCCCTTGAGGCAGGCCAGCTATCCTAGAAGCCACACAAGACCAAAACTCTTCTACACTTTTCTGACATTTGCTACCTAAAGTGTTTGTTCCACTGAGCCTGAGAGGAGAGCCTGTTTGGAGTGCCACTGCCATTTAGTTAATGCCAGTATCTGTATTACACAAGCACTTGGAGAAGAAAATATTTCCAGTTGTGACATCCCAAGGCCTCCCTCAGTTAGGATGTCACCATTAGTTAGAATTCACTTGATGGCACACAATTATTCTAACTTGTATCTAAAATCCACAGCCCTAACTATCATTCCCATTCCAAACTACCCAATATCCTAAATATTCTTGTTATACCCTCTCTCTGCTCCCACTAAGACATCCCGAGGCCTGGGATGTCTTAGTGGGAGCAGCCAATCACAACAGAGTTTTGCAGGGGCATATTCCTTCCCTCTCCCAACTGTCAAAACTGTCTCAACTGTCAGTCATTCAGCACCCATCTTTCATTCCATCATGTAACCAATTACCTTGCCTGTGCATGTTATATGGCACCAAGTCACATCCTAACAGGGTTTTCAAGGCAAGCGGGTTTTAAGGCAATCTCGGCTACTGCCCCCACCCCCTGGTGAATTTCAAGGCAAGCGGGTTTTAAGGCAATCTGGGCTACTGCCCCCACCCCCTGGTGAGTTTCCATGGCTGAGCAAGGATTCAGACCCAGGTCTCTGGTGTCCTACTCCATCGCTCCATTCACTACACTCCAAATTAACTGTTCAGAAACAAAAACAAACCAACAGAAGGGGACTGACACAGACCCACCAATGATAACATCCCAATTGCAAACGCCGGGGGGGGGCTAAGGGAATCCCCCCCAGAAGGTGTGTCTTTGCCAGCTTCCCGGGAAGCCACACAATGCTACAAGGCTGTCCCGAGAACAGCCGAGGGGCATGGGAGAAGCAGAGGGGATTTAAGGGGATGAACCTCTGTTATCTCCCTCTTTAATGATCTGAGCGACAGCCCACGTGCCTGCCCATTATTCTAGTGCAAGATTAGCTGGTTGCCCTTTGGGAGCTGGATAGGAATTTTTGACCCATCTCCCGATTGGCTGGTGGAGGTGGGGATTTTTCGCCTATCCCGCACTGGATTAGGAGCGTTAGCCTTAGTAAGGGTGGTAGTAGAATTCCATCACACTGGGGAGGATAGTGTGGATTTGAAAGGTATTGGAACTTGGATTCTATGGGAATGGCAGGAAATTGCAGAGTATCTGAACTTGCAGCACTGCCGATCAGGCGATCTCAGTGCTGGGAGGGAAAGATGTGCTGGGGGACGCACCCGGACCCACGGTCAGCACAGGAAGAGGGAAAGAGGGTCCAGGGAAAATGGAGGCCGATAGTTATCCCACGGTAATAAAGAAGGGGATGACTGAGGCCGGAGCACAGCCGGCAGGCTGTGCCATGGTCACGTGATAACCCAAGAGCAAACCTGAATCCGCACTACAGCAGGACCCCCCTTTGCCAAAGGATTGGCAATGTTTATGCGAATGGAATGGACTTTAATAAAGTGTGGCCCATATTTCAACCCATACATTTGGTCTCACGTGGTTATTCCAGGGTAAGAGGGCAATCCTCATTACCTTCTTCTGCATCGAAGGCATACATTGCTAGGCGGAGAGTTGTAGCACACACCACACATTTAAAGCATTCTCGGTGGAAAAAGTGGCCTTCTGCGCTCAGGCGCTCCATGACGTACACCCTTTTCTTACAAAAGCAGCAGATGTCACTCCCACCTATGGATTGTGGAAATTCTTTCCTGAGAGAACCCTGTTAATGAAATTGAAACATAGTTGTAACATTATTACACAACAGTATATCCACAACAGCTTGACCAAGTACTCCACTCATTTATTGAAGAGAGTTAACTATTCTATACTGGCACACAATCAAGGGCTGCCCTGAGCAACAGATTTCATGGTGAGATGTTATACCATGAATGGAGCTCAGCATGGGCATGATATGTTTCTCCATGTTTTTAATCAGCACCACAGTGCTGATAATAAACATGTCAGATTAATTCCCCTCTCCCCCCCCCCCGTAGAAGGGAACATCAAGAGCATTGAGGGCAGCTAGCATTGAATCTTCCCTAGTATACGTTCCACCACTGGACGATTGACTGCTTTCACTATAGGCCTAGGGATGCACATATAAGAGAGAAAGAAAGCACATGGTCAGCATTGGTAATGGATGATTGGTTTATGTTTAGTTTGATGGCTAACAGATTGTACACAATACTAGATTTGATGTGTGAATTCCAAACTTTAATTCATATTCTCTGGTTATCCTGGGGGAAAAACAAGGGGTGGGCAAGCTGTAGCCCTCTAGATGGTGATGCAACTTCTGTCGGCCTTAGCTAGCATCACCAATGGTACTGCAGTACCGGGAACTGAGGTCAAACATCATCCGTTGGCCTACCCCAGAACATCAAAGTAAAAAAAAATTTAAAAAATCTAGAGCTGAATGCATGTATATACCTCTTCAGTATATGGATATATCCAAATGTGAAAATGATTATTCTTTTTGTCATGTGAGAGAATAAGGCATTTTGTTGTGCTCGCAATAGGAGAACAAGAATGAAATATTGTGCAAGTTAACCAAAATTGTGCAAGTAACACAAATAACATACTGCACAAAATAATGGTGGCTGGTACTTTGATGCAATTAGGTTAAAGCATTAGAAGCGGGGGTGGTGGTTTCTGTTTGCATGTTTAACTATCAGCCATGTCATTTCGTGTTTGCTGTTTCTGCGTGCGTTTTGCTTCTCAAAGGAGAGGTATGCTAGTTTTGTATGGAATCAGTGAATGCAAATTACAGAAGCCTTCCTTGGCAAGAAAAAGCATTAGCATTTTGTTCCCCTCTAGCTTAGAGGCAAGGAAACCCGTATGGCTTGAAAAATTCTTGCTGAAGTGTCTCATCAAGCAAAGATAGCCTACATCAGTGATAACAACAAACCATTTAAAGTGAACTTTCCTAACATCTCTACTTTGGGAGAACTGCTATCAACAGGATCTATTAGATTGCTTCTGGAGATTCCACAGTACAATGGGGCCACTTTTTATTAATTCACTCTAAACACTGTAGGTACGGGAGCAACTCTCAGGAATCTTCCAATGTCCTTCATAGGAAGTAGATTAAACCTGCTTCTGCATCTCAAGGGCAAGAGCAACAGAATGGCTAGATCATAGCTAAAGTGAAGTTTTCCTATTTCATATAAGCCATGCTAAAATAAAGAATTACCTTTCACATCCAATCACACACACACACTCCAATCTCTCTCTACGTGTACAACATCTGGTTCCACTCACTTATGAATATTGATAAGAAGAGACACAATGAGTAACATTTTGTAAAAAATATATACACATATATGCTTCAGAATGCCCAATGAGATTTGCTTTTTCCCCCCTAATGGAGTAACACCTGTGATCTATTATGGGGAAATCTAAACAAACAGATGGAAGAAAGGTGACTCCAAGATATAGACAAATGAGAAATAATAACCAAATTGGCAAAGGGCTATTTATTCTATGACTAAAATAGTTTAGTAAGAACTGTATTAGAAATTTAGTAGAGATTCTTTCTATTTTGGTTTTGCCTGCAACAGTCCCAGACTTCCACCCACTCCTGGGGACAGCTTCCTTTTCCTACAGCAAATTTGGTTGAAACTCGGCCTGTCCCACTTCATGAAGCCTTCCAAGCCAGTCTTTCTCCAGGTGAGCACAATTTAGGTTTAGGTCTAGCAGATGGAATCCCCACAATGCAGAATTCTGGGATCTGGAGTCCACAAAATAAGAGCAATACATCACTAACAGGGTGCCCACTGTTCCATCACCAAGGAGGACAGACATCGCCCAAAAGGATGACAAGGAGGGCAAAAAACACCAGAAAGGAGGACATAATTCACAAAAAGGGTGGGATATTTTTGCATTAAATTTGCATATGCTATTTGAAACCCATATATGCAAACATCATCAAAATTAGACATCATTACTACAATTGAGGTAGAAATACAATAGTGCTCACCATACTGCACAAGACCATAAGGCACAGCGTCAAGGTAAAGACAGGATATAAATGAAATAACTTTTGAAATGCCCCACACCTTGTATTTTCTGCAGTTTACTAAAAATGAACACATATAGAAAGAAAATAAACCTCCTCCAGAACAACTTCATTTAAAAATTGAAAGAGGGTTGATTAGATACATTTAACAGTCAAGCTTCTACCTTCCCTGCTTAGCCAGGGAGGAAGACTGGCTACTTACCAAAAGCTGTACAAACGAGGACTATTTTTCTAAAGGAGGACATATGGCCATCCTAACCCCTAATGACTGCCAACATACAGAAGAAATAGTGTGAAATGGAAGTGGACTCGGACTTCCATCTTACTGAAAGACGCAAAAGGGTTAAGAAGTTAATGGACCATGAAATACCAAGTATATAAAACGGAGATGTTGGATAACTGGGGATTTCTTTGAATCTAATTCCACAGAATATTCTTTGCATCATAAAAATGAGTCTGATCTTGCCCTTCTTCCTGAAAATCTGTGCAAAGCCAGTAAAAGCGTTTTTCACTGTGCTGACCATGTTTGTGCATGTCTGACTAATACCTGACAGCTCTGAGCAGGAGAAGGAAAAGCTTGAGAGGTAGAAGAGGAAGCAGGGAAAGAAACCGCAGCAGGAGATCCATCTTCAGATGTGTTCTGAAGTCAATACAATATTAACAAAATCAATAATGAGTTTATTCCAACAAAATGCATTTATTAATTTGCACAATTCTATTCTGGAGTAAGCTGCAACTGAAAATTTATGTGTAGCATTAGCTAATATCCAATAAGGCCCTTTATGGGCACACATCGGCCAAAGCACATGCAATGGGGCCGGTTCCTTTTCAAACATAACAGCAGCCCATCTCCCTGCCCCCATAAGCACTGACTAGAAGGCAATTTTAAAAGCACATTAACCTAATCACATCGAGAAGTCACTCTGTATCAGTGATTCTCAGTCTTGGGTCCCCAGATGTTCTTGGACTATAACTCCCAGAAATCCTGGCTATCACAGTTAGTGGTGCAGGCTTCAGGGAGTTTTAGTCCAGTAACACTTGGAGAACCAAGTTTGGGAACCATGGTTCTAGATTATTAGGTGCCTAGAACCTATATGTAACAGAATCCTATGTTGAATCTATACCATAAACAACAAAGAACAGGAATAAATAATGCAGCTTTATTGTTATACAAACTTAAAATGTGGCAGAGTGTAGAAAATATTGAAATCTCTAACAGACAAGTCTTGGAAAGGTTACTCTTTCAGTTCAACAATCCCATTCCAATATTTCAAGTTTTAAGCCTTACCGGTTGCCAGGATGGAGGCAATGGACTAGGCCTGTGATCGTTCATGTACAGATTGACAAGAACTTGCGCCACAGCACCTATCGAGCGTGACACCTTCCCTACCGTCATCTGTCGCCAGCCAAGAAAGAAAAAGGGGAAACAGAACAGGTGGAGAATGGAGAGCTTTTGTTCTTGAGAATATGATTCAACCAAAATGAAACAGGAAGAGATAGCAGATTGTAGCATGCTACACAACAAAGCAGTGGTAAAGAAGCCTGAAGTCAGAATGACACAAAAGCAGCAACATGAATTCTGGGCTATTTCATGCACTACGAAGCACAAACTGCTCAGCTCCTACCATCATCCTTGTGCTTTGCAAAGTATTTAGAAATGAAGGGATTTTGTTAATTGTTAATATGGAGAAATGCATCTTAGAATGCAGGTCAACCCACAGAATGACCAGCTCACTTAGGCAAGTGAAAGGTTTTGGTATTTATAATACCTGCCATGCTAACCAGCAAGTCAATGTCTATGCTTGCTGAGAATGAAAGGACCTGTAGGCCAACATATCTTCAGACTGCCAGATTTGATGAAATCAGCTTGTGGAGATGTTTGCTATGTAGTCCTAAAACTGATTTGGTAAAACAGTTTGGGAAATGTTCCATTTTGAACTGGAAAGTGCATGCATGTGCAGATTTGTGTTTACATGTACAGCATATAAATTATTCCTGACATATATTTTCAGTGTCAGGAAGCCATGACCGCAAGGAATTCTGCTTAAAGCATATTAAATAGGCCTTTTAATGTAACAATATATAATCACCTATAGAACCCTACTCATATGTCACATATTTCTTTCATTTCCCCTTCTTCCTGTATTTCCACCATAACCTGTTCAGAAATTGAGATGGCTGAATTTTATCTTGGACTTTGCCATTATGGATAGAGATCATTATGAATAAAGATCACTATTCCACAAAAAGGTTATGTTATACCAACTTTACTATATAAGCCATAGTCTGTCTAATCATTCTGTTTCCACTGGAGTAAAACATTTTTCCAGTTTTTAGAAATTAAGTTTTCTTTTCAATAGTTAGTGTGCTATTCAGATCCATTTTCTTTTATATATAAAACCTTACAATTGCATTCTTATTGTCAATATTCATATTAAGTCCCACTTGCTCTGATTTTTTAAACAGTTAATTTACAACCTCAAACCTGGACAAATGATGATTATAAATTTAATTGTCTAAAATACTACAATATCACACTGAATGAGAAAGAATGCAACAAATGTCATTGAAGGCAAGATTCTTCTTCTAAATGTGATTAAGCAAACATCCAGAAAACATGCATGACTAAACTAAAGATGGGCTGTACAAGCTGATTTCCATCCTTTGAAGTCAATTCGCTGTTACACCCAAACAATCAATGTCAACTTTTCATTAATCATGATGGCAGGTAGTAGAGCAGCATACCTATGCTTATTAAAATAGTGGGCAAAATTAGCCTTGCTTTTCAAAAAGCACAATCAGATTAAGAAGAAAAGTTAATCAAACTGGAACCAAATGATACCAGTCATATTTTTGTACAAATAATATTTTTACACAACTGTCTAATACAGCCATTTCTCAAAGGGGAAGTGGGGCTGGTAGATTTGAATGGGAGGGGCACGGATTCATCTGTTCATGTTGTATCCTTGTTTGCACACAGCCAAAGGCTTTCCTTGCTTGACAGGGCCCCCTAAAACTTGAGAAGAACTCCCAAAAGGGCTGGGGGGGGGAATTGAGAACAGCTGGTTTAGTAATTTGAATACAATGAAACCTTAATTTTTACATTTTCAGTTAAGAAGGAGGATCCATTGAAATATTTACAGCATGAAGTTTGTAATCTCATCAAGTTTTACTCAAGATGCAACCACTTCTTTAAACTATAGAATGTGTGCTTATTTATCTCACAGCAGTTTGCATGTCTGTGTTTTTAAAAGAAAATTAGATATTGGAAGTGGACTGCAAAGAAGATATATGCCCATCTGTACTCTGAAGGGTTATTTCTGGATTTCTGTGTATAGAGCGACAATCTTTACAGGCGACAGAAAGACCCATGGAACCAAATGGCAGCAGATTAATAAACAGGCTTTCTATCGATATATTAGTGTAAACCTATGTTTCTGCACTGTGTAAGCATTAACATTTCACCATTCCCAGTTCTAGCCTACAAAGGGAATCAAGGGATGAAATAAAACGAGCTCCCAACTTTAAAAAAATGCTAATGATACAGACTAGTGCAATGGTCAATTAACTTGAGCTGGGCAAGTTAAGATCAAGAATGCAGGCATTTCTTCTTGAAAAAGCAAGCTAGCTAGAAGTTTCCAGGACCCCAAACAGGCAAAAGAACGAAGCAAACCTATGTGAGTATTGAAAAGCCAAGCAGTGCCATATGGGCTTTTCATGAGATGCAATGTCCAAGGAAAAAATGTGACCGGGAAGAAGACCCTGAGAATATCTTGTTTCTTTGAGAAGTTACCTGGCATTGATAAAGTATTGCAGAACCTTAAGAAAATTAGATGCAGGGCACTGAGTAATATTTCCAGAGTTTAGTGGAGGAGCACAGTGCTCTGCGGGATTGTTCCATACAACTCCTTGACCTTCTCACACATAACCAATTAAATAAAAAGGTCTGAAAACCAAGTCACAAAATATACAGCTAAACTTGGTGAAAATTTAGATTCATTCAGCTCCATGTATTCAACTACCAAAGTCAAAATGACAAACTGATCACTTTATCTCCCTATTCAGTTGCAAGTTCTAGCACACAAGAAGTAACTCACACTTGAACAAGCACAACCATGGTCATGCTGGCTGGAGTATTCTGGGAGTTGTAGCCTGAAATGTGAATGCTTCTGATACTTTTTGTCTGTGTAACCGTTCAACACTTCGTTCCACAGTCAACATCCATCTCCCTTCCTCTCAATATTCAATAAAGAAAAGTTACTTGATTTCTAATCTAATTAACTTTTTAAAAAGTAAATGTTGAAAGGATGATGATGCGGAACAGTGCCTCACACTAATGGGGCAGTATAGAAATCAACCAGATTTCTATATTTGGAGGCAAATATAAAAAGAACTGGCATCATTCTCCTTATCTTATTGATTACTCTCATTTATTTTATATTTGCTAGCATGCAAACTGACAAGATCAGCCCTCATTCTCGAGAAACACAGCATAACACAACTATCTTCTGTGCAAGCTAAATCTGAGAAATCCAAGCCAGCTGTGTGCAGACTTGTTTTGTTAGTGATGATATGAATAACACATGGAGACCTGTTAAGGAGGAATACCTTTTTAGAGTGAACAGCAGGGGAAGCAGAGTCAATGGATGAAGAGGAAGCAGTTGAATCATGAGAAGGAGGACAAGAGGGAGATGGGAGCTGAGAATGGGACAGACCTTTAGTAGGAAGCTTATTCTGTACAGAGCAGAAAGAGGAGAATTACCTCAGATGATGTTCCTATTAATGAATGTTAAACTAATGGCATTTCACCACCATGCACTAAGTTTTAGGAGAGACTTCAGCCACAATCTAATACAGAGTTAATTGCTTTCAGTGAGATTTCGGTTGGCAAATCCTTGTATCAGATTGTGCACTAATTTCCTATTTGCTCCTCATTTTTCCACTTCTGTTTAATGAAACGAAACAAAAATGTATCAGTTGCAAAGCAGTATTTTTCTATTTGAGAAGAAATGCAGCAGCACTCCCCCGCGTCCCTCTTAATTCCTCTGCATCTGCAAAGCAAACACAGCATTCACCTTCGGGAGGTCGACATAACCAAACATGGAGGCGAGATGAGCTGCTTTATCCTTAATGCTCTTTTTATGAAATTCTCTATTTGCTATGGACTGAGCTCTCCTCTGCAGCAACAAGGAAAAGAAAGGAAAGAGAAAAAGGAGTTTGGTTATTGAGAAAAGAAAAGAACAGTAGTGTTCAGAAATATAGCTGGTTGGACGGAAAGTGTTTCAAATAGAAGGAAAACAGAAGAACAAAACACTGGCAGTGAAAGGCAAAGAGCGGGTTTATAGCTATGTTCATGCTTCAGTATTCTGTAGCTGTGCATATGTCAAACCACATATTATATTTGAAGAGATGTCACAGCAGGTTCTTAACTTCAGCTGCTTCAAAATATGTAGCTCACATTCTGAATGTAGGGTCAACACGATATGTTACCTCTACCATGTTAAGTTGGCGTAACATGTTAGAAGTAGTAGACTTAGCCTTGCCCCCTCCCCTGCACCACCACGCTGCTTTGGACAAAGGACCCCCGCTTCTCTTAATTTATAACAGGCTGGAAGAAAACTGACATAGTTCGTCCTTGGCTTCTCTCCCCAATTTTATTTGAAAAAAGAGGAAGAGGAGGAAACAATTGGAAATCTCTTCTGATTATTGCTAGGAAGTGTTCTTGATTGAATCATGTGTATATCCCCATTTTCTATAGATTAATGGAGTGAAATGCCTTGGAAGCAGCTGAAAAATACTGTGAATATACTTGCAAAACTACTGCAAAATAGTAAAAAAAATAAGCCAGCAAGGGAAGTGGGGTGAGGAGGAAAATAGAGGAAGAGCTTGTCACCTGGTTTATTTTCTCTTCCACATACTGAAGGCGTTGAAGCACACCAGACAGTGCAAAGGCAGCAGGGCAGGAAGACGCAAGGGTTTCAGAAAGGTTGGACATCAGCTCAGTTCTCTCTGTACAGCCCAAATGCCTGGCCACTGGAGGAGGAGCAGGCAGAGACTGCATGGGCTCCCTGGCTGGGCGGTCAGCCCTAGCTATGGCCTGAAACTGTGAAACACTTGAAATGAAAAAAGGGATCCCATTCGTCCATCAAAGCACAGATTGCATGCATGTTGGCATGACCATGCTGGATATCGGACTGCAACATGCACCCCATGTACAGCAGCACGCTTTCCCATAGGGTTTATTTCATTTTCAGGAAAGAAGGCAGGAGAGCACAGAACTCATGCAGTGGAAACATATCTGATAAAATTAGAACGGTACAACCAACTCTGCACAGCTTAGGAGTTTTAATGGTGTGAGCTACCTTGGGTCTTTTTTGGGGAGAAAGGTGGGCTAGAAGGAGTTCCAGGGCCTTTGAATTAGACACACTTTTAATTTTTGTTTAGTCAAGTTAAGGGTAAGTGAAGAAAAACTATGTCCCCAATGAAAATCCTATCTCAGCCACTAACTTCACTGGTGTCTCTAAGCAAGTTTTCCACTCTCCTGCAGCTTCAACTTCATCCCAATGAGCACTGCAGAGATACTAATAGCAGCTTTTATGCAGAGATGCTACACGGCCCACTGAGATAATGTTTGTGAAATTATGTAAACACAGAAGTACTGCCTAAAATGCTCAGTTTGCAAGATCTGCAAATTCAGCTCCATTTCCCTAGCAGACTATCCTGGTTTGTGTGGTGTACGCCAATGGCAACAACATAATCCAGAAGTGGGAGACTTAAGGGCAGGCTATGATGTACAGGAAACTTTCAGACAGTTTTGGTAATGCAGGATAACTGTGCTTGTTACTAAATATTTCCTGACAGTATGCCCTAGAACTTTTATAAACTAACCATTAAAAAATCAGTGTCTACTAGATCAAAGACTCTGATTTCCCAAATAGTTTAGCAGTGTACTTAGGAATATGTCACACCTTTTGGTATTCTCCAGAAGATAAAAATATTGCACATACATAAACATTTATACTTATGCAGAACCCTACTCTTGTATTAGCTTTGCTTTGTTAGAAGCATAAATTTGCCCTGAACAAATATTCTGCATTTATCCAGAAGGCCTTTTAGCATAATAAAAGAGGTAAGGGAACCTGTGATCCTTCAAATATTTCTGGACTACAGTGCTCTTCATTCCTGACCACTATCCATGGTGGCTGGGGTTAATGGACATAAAATCCCACAACCTCTAGAGCACTGGTTCTTAACCTTGGGTTACTCAGGAGTTTTGGACTGCGACTCCCAGAAGCCTTCACCACAAGCTGTGCTGACTGGGGTTTCTGGGAGTTGCAGTTCAAAAGCATCTGAGTAACAAAGGTTAAGAACCACTGCTCTAGAGCACCACAGGTTCCTCAACTCTGATTAAAAGTAAGAGATAACACATACAGTACTTCCGAAATGACAATACTATGGAATTGTCAAACCATATACAGTATTGCCGCTAAAAGGATTATGTGAGAAAGGCCCTGACCCTTCATTAAAATCCAAAAATAGCAGCAGCACACCCTGAATAGGCAGTCAAGCACCATGAGTCCCAATGCATCTCTCTCTTTTCAAAAATGTTCTTCCTTATTCTTAAAGGCAATCAGGCATAATCTACAATGCTCTGCAGTGCCAAAGTTAGAAAGAAATGACAGTCAAACAGGCTGATGTCCAGGCGGAATGCCTACCTGACTTTTTGGTGGAGGTGATGGGTTACAGGTTGCCTCCTGGGGTTTAGCAAAGCGATGATTTACAGGAGATTCGGAAGGAAGGTGCAAAGCTGGTTTAGCTATTGGCTCCTTAAGTGAAGAAAGGAGAATTGTCCAAGGAAAGAAAGGAATATTGTATGAAGTGGAACAGCAGGATTGAAAGCTGTTATAGGTTAGAAGGAAGGAGAAAATGCTGAAGCTCAACAGCACAGTCACAGAGCCAAGAAGATGTAGTTGGAGTTCCAAAAAAACACCACAGTTGAAGTTTGACATATAAAATTGGAAGGATATTTAAAACACACAAATTCACCAGTCATTGTTCCAGTGCAAAATGCTATGGTTGAAGCTGTACGCCCAAAACAAGGACATTCAAACTTCAGAGCAACATCCCAACTCATTCAAAACATAGGCATATTGATGCATCCTCCCTGTATCTTAATTTCCGCCCTTTGAAAATATAGAGGTAAACTCTATTCTTTGGTTTCTCAAAGAGAGCAAAAACAATCACCTCACCTCTGCTTATCTAGCAATAAGCCCATTAAACATAATGTATTTCCTTCTTCCACACAAGAATCAATGGAACTGACTTAGTAATAATTACTTAATTGTTCATAGGACTACATTACAAATTTGCTTATAGGTGCTTACACTTTTAATGTCTGTGTCGCATTTCAGCTGTTCTGTGCCACTGGTGATGCACAATACAGGGAGCGGAGTGGCTAGTGAGATTATGTGATAGTGCTTACTCAGGGTAAAAATTAAGGGGGGGGGAAGAGCCCACATTTTGTGAGTATGTGTGCTTATCTGTGATCTAATTTTATTTTCAAAGTTACAGTTTAAAACATAACTTTTTCTTTTTAGTGAAGACTTTTATCTCCCTTTTGGAATTTGCTTGCTTTTTAAAATGTTGGAATAAATAAGCCATTGTAAATATAGACCAAGTGGTTAACTGCAGTAAAAATGCTGTTTGGATTCACCAACTTTTCACAAACAGATGTGTCGCTAGGGATACCATGGCTAATCACAAAGGAGAGGGAATTGCCATTTAAGCCACCCTCTGAAAGAAACAAGTTCTGTATATTTATTTATTTATTTTATATCCCGCCTATCTAGTCACTTAAGACCACTCTAGGCGGCTTACAAGGTGTCACTCACAAATCTATTCCCCTTCCCCAAAATAGTTAATGTGCTGTTCAAATGTTTTCCTTGGGAAAGATATGACAGGGTCGGACATTCATTCATTCATTCATTCATTCATTCATTCATTCATTCATTCATTCATTCATTCATTCATTTATACACCGCCTATCTGGTCTGCACGACCACTCTAGGCGGCTAGACATGTTCCACCAAAAGGTCATCCTAACCAAGGGAGAGGAGGTAACCTCCCCCCCAAACACAATTTTTCACCCCACATATGCCACCATATAGGGGAAAGGCACAAACAAGTTTTCAGAAGGTGGCAAAACTGATACACAGAATGAATCCGTGAATGGCTATAGTAAAAAGCTTGCAAATAAAGAGGTACAGATCCATCCTAAGTTTCTATGCAGGAGATAACTTAGAAAGCTCTCATCAACCATAACTATAGGGTGGCCAGAGTCACCATATAATTGTCACAGATTACTCAGTCGGTTGGGAAAATTTGGCTCAGTCTTAATTAACAATGTACATTTTTTAAGAAAAAAATGTGCAAGCAGCAGCAATAGAAGGGGCTGAGCAGAATATGCAATCACATCTCCTGCTAAGATTCCATGTGAATGAAGATGAGTCTTATTACTCTATACCATATACATCTGTGAGTGGGATTTATTTATGTAGGCTGTTATATTCTCCATTTCAAAAAACAACACCCACACCCACACTTTCTTGCTGCTGCTGGATCTCACTCATGGATCCTGCCAAAAAGGCATACTTACTTCCAATTTGGATATATTTTCTACATGTACTCCTGCACAGCAATTATTCTAAAAACATTTGTGAGGAAGAAATATGACGTTGCAACTAATCCAAAACAGGGGAAAACATATTTTTTAAAAATGCCATAAAATATGCAACTGTCCCATCACTGTCCTGTACTACTGTAAAATCCAAGTACTGCACAATGTAAATTATCACCAAACTATCAGACTCTAGCTGACATCCCATTGCTGATTTAGGCATATGTTCAGTTAAACTGTGTAACTCATTGCAGCAAATTGCCGCTAACTAATGGTGTGCTGACTGCATTACCAGGTGTGTGTCGGTTGCACAGTCAGGCATATACCATGTAATGCAATCAGTGCCCCATTATAGTGGCAATTTGCTACAGTGAGGTACAGATTTTAATTTACAAAGTCATTAATCATCAACATGATTCTGATAGATGAAAATTCACTTCAAATTTTACCGACAATATGGCAGGAAAGGTAGCATACGAATGTTATTTTCCTTAGCAACTGAAATACGATTGCATATATTTCAGCCTGCATTTATATAGTAATTAGAAAGAAAATGCAAGCTGTTCATGTTTTATCCCCTTGCAAAGCTTCTATTGCCATTCAGGTGTATCTGGCTAACATGAAATTCTACGTGTTGGCAAAATTAAAGGGGAAAATGGAAAAGAGAGAAAGATAAAGACGAAGGGTTGTTTCAGTGTGAGGTTTTGTGAATCAAAATCCACTCCTTCAGACACAATAAACTAAATAAATCTGTTGGAATAAATGTGAAACAAATCTGTTAGTCTTTAATGTGCCACAAAAAAATGCTTCTCTCTCTCTCTCTTCTGGTCCCTCCGCCCCCCGCAATTTTGCCAACACATTGAGACAGACCACCACGATCACTTCTTTGTACAAAACTCCACTGCTCAAGAAAAACTGTTCAACGAAGCATCAGCTCTGTCTGAACCTTGCCAAAAATTGCTGGTTGGGAGCAGATGATAGTTCAGGAGCATATGTCATGCACTAAGTATTCACAGAAACCCTACTAGCAGTTTTCCATTTGCAACAATTCAGACTTTGCATTCAAACCAATGTAACGGGTTATCAGCTAGAAAAACTTCCTTCCATTTCTCAAAATGAATTTCATTTTCTTCTTCTTCTTCTTTTGCCTACCTGCCTTCGTAGTGAGCTAGTAGGTGCATTTTCTTCAAATTTGGCTAAAAGTTGGGTTGCCATAGATTTCACTTTATTCCGATTTATTGCTTCCTTCACTTCAACTTGGTTACCAGAATTTGTTTTCCGATCCCTGGAACCTGAGAACTGCAACAAACAAACAAAAACAAATGATTGCGGTTGACATTTTTCATCAGATGTACAGAGAGAGACATGAAAGTTTAATTGTGTTCAATAGCAGTTCCTTCTCTAGTTATCCTTTAAAACAGCGGTCCCCAACCTTTTTGCCACTGTGGACTGGTTGGGGGTGTGTGGGTTCTGTGCGCAGGGAGACACCCCCATGCTTGTAGGGGGCATGTCACGCTCACACACGCAAGCACAACACACCCCTCCGCAAGCGTGACACGCCCACCGTGCGTGCGTGCGGGTGGGCAGAGATACATGCCCGCGACCCAGTTCAAGGAAGCCCATGGATCGGCACCGGGCCGCGGACCGGGGGTTGGGGACCACTAGAAAAAAATGGCAGTTCTGATGCAGAAAAAGGACCATGCTAATACTCTTAAAGAATCATCATTTATTCCCACTGCTTAGAGTCATGTTGCATTTGCCATATATTTAGATGTGTTCCTTCAAATGGTAAATTACAGCTTTTTTTCACAGCACACAATATTTTTTATCCAAGTATGTTGTATTTAACCTGTTCGGGTTTTGACTGGTTATTGGAAGATAAACACGCGCTTAGTTTGTAAGTTCGGTTGTTAAGCCATACGTACCTGTTTTCAAAGGAATAAATAATAACAATGTGCCCTCAAATTAATTTTGACTTATGACAACTCTTTCCAGGGTTTTTAAGGTAGAGAGCACTCACAAGTGATTTACCATTCCCTTCTTCTAGGGGTGACCTGGGACTGTGCAGCTTGCCCGAGGCCACACAGGCTGGATCCCTGGAGGCACAGTGGGAAATTGAACTCCTAGCCTCTGGCTCCACAGCCAGATACTTAACTCACGATTAACTATGATTAGGTTAATTAAGAGGAATACACGTTTTCCTTAAACTTCTAGTTGGGTTCCAGTTGTTGATGAAATCCTGTTAAAATAGGTTAATTGGAGGCTATATACACCCCCACTAACATTGCCATTCAGTGGGAAACACCCAAGCTGAAGCACTGCCTAAGGGTTGCAACAAAGTGGGGCTCGAACAAGGTTTGTTCCAATCCAATTGTGTTTTCTTTCTTTGGTCCCAAAACATATGACAAGAATCTTGCTTTTACAGAATTGATAGCTTAAAAGCCTGGATGTGGAAGCTATACTTTATTTTTGCTGTAGAAAAAATATGTATTATTACACAAAGAAATTTAGCAATTGTAATTACCAACCTCTTCAAAATTAATGAGACTCTTACGCCGCCTTTTACTAGTTTCATTTTCTTCTGCCTAAAAACAAAGAGGAACACATCATTCACAACTGCATATATATCCAGAATTTATCAATCTATCATCATAGGGACTGTTGAAATAAAGATAACCCCATCTGTTAAATTTTCCAATCCATTACCAAATGAACAGAGGGATTTGTAAATGTTTCCCCTGATAAAGGTCTGCAAAACTAATTCTAGGCCACTGTCAGTTGCTATAAAAATCAGTTGAAGTCAGTTTTCTCCGTTCCATAAACACCCTCTCTCAGCAAATTTTGTTACCCAGGGATAAAACCAGATGATGAAACAGCAACATCTCTGTATCCCATCTCTCTCGTTCACATATAACGTAATCCTGTTAGTTATGCCCATGGAGTCAAAGATCTTTGTTTGGCTCAAGGCCATATAAATGGGTTATATCTCATGTTAAAGAAAGCCCACTGACATGAATGGAACTTGTTAGTTACCAGTAATAGTAATCCCATTGATTTCAATAGGTCTGTTCTACTAATATTAACCTCGTTTCCTGACATTTTTTTTTTTTTTTTTTTTTAGAAAAAATGCTAACAAATAGAGTTACAACTAGGGCTTTGCTCCAGGGCACCAAAATCTAGAGGGTGGCCATTTAGAAGTAAGTTGAAGTGAAGTATCAGTAATATACCCCAGCAGGGCTACAACTAAAGAGGAGCAACTGGAGCTTTAAGGAACCAAAATTTGGAAGGCACTAAAATATAGAGTAAGTTGGATATTGGGAATATAAAGGACAACACTTCCTGGCCCACTATGCACTTTCCTTTTCTTCAGAAGTTTAAATGCCCTTTCGTTCAGATTGTGGGGCAACACATTAATCCTCCTTTTTCACAGAGGGCTCACATACAGAAGTCAGAGTAGAGCGGCTGAGAGATGGCACACTTGCCAAAGTGGCTAGTTATAGCCAGTGGTGGGATTCAAATAAATTAACAACAGGTTCTATGTCCTAATGATTGATAGATAGATAGATAGATAGATAGATAGATAGATAGATAGATAGATAGATAGATAAATAAATAAATAAATAAATAAATACATACATACATACATACATACATACGTACGTACATACATACATACATACATACATACATAAATGCCCAGGACATTTTAAAAAAAGGTCCCACAAAAGCAACAGTCTTATGTGGTACCTTTAACTTGAAAAAAATCATAGTAAAATGAGGATGGTTGGGTGTTTAACTGAAGCGGTCTCACCCCAAAACTTTTTCCCTCTGTGTCCTGCCCTCATGCCTTGTCAATCACCCCACTCTCTGCCTTGAGGCCATGAGCTTTCCTCCAGTGACATCAAGGACTCATCCTCCCCTCTTTCCCCCATTGACGCCTCTGCTCTTTCCAGGGCTTTATCTGTCTCACCCACACCCCACCTCAGACGGCTCACTGTGGCACAGGAAGGGAGGCAGCTAATTGCGCCCCCCTCCCCCCGCTCGTAACTGGTTACCTGGCCCCTCCTCCTTCAGCGAACGGTTCTAAGAACCAATAGTACATTTAGGAAGCGGTTCTATAGAATAGGTGCGAACCTGCTGAATCCCACCTCTGGTTATAGCCCTGTGGGCTAATATCTTTAGACATGTAGATACCTCAGCATTCTCCATTTACAAACTATCAGAAAGCCCTGCCTTATGTCCTCATGCCATGGAAGTACTGAAGTGCATAGATTTCTAAGTGCAACATATTTCAATGGTGGCAACTTATCTCGTAAGAATGAAAATACACTGCAACCTAATTTAGAGCCCACAAAAGTCAACAGATTCCACTCATAGTCATGGGATTTTAGAAGTTATCTGTTATGAATTAGTGATTTAACACCCATTAAACACATCATGGGCTCTGGATCATTTTACCATAAATAGACTGATGTGTTTCAAACAAATATAAATTATAATATTTCAGGCCATTTTTTTCTGCTCCTGGACATTTTCAGACCTGCCCATATCTTCTCTGTATATTGTCAGGATCAATCATCAGTTGCAGTCTTATAGGTTACAGTGCCAACGTTACAGACAGAAAGCAAGATCAAAGAAACACAGGCTTCCTTTTATATTTTCATTGCTTATAATAAATTGCCAAGGAGAGAACAGGCATTATCCCAGCCCTAACTTTTGGGTCAGTCCCAAAAGAAACAGATGACTAACATAGCATGATGTTCTACGTAAGCCTTAGTCTGCCCAGGAAGACTAAACACTGTAGTGGCACAATCTGTTCTACTGGGGTCCACTTGTTCTCTTTCACAGGACAATAGTACACTGCTTTCCAAGATCTTAAACAGGAGTAGTTTGAGATTTATTTTATCTTCCACCTAACGAGATATCAGCCACTTTGCCCTTTTGCTTAATTGTTTTTCAACCGAAGCACAGCTTTCACTTTTTATAAATGCTGTACTCTCCCCAATCCACCTAATATCTGTCATAAGTCTTAATTCCTACTGAATATGACAGACAGAAAGAAAATGCAGAATTTTATAGAGACTAAGACACACTTCTTATTAACAGATAAATCACTAAAAACTCTTACATTGGCTTAAATCCAAGTGTGCAGCTCTGCATATGCAAGGAGAATAATGTATTCATCAGCAGCAAATAGCTAGTGATGAAAGATTTTGGGGTGCACATGATTTGCACACAATGTGATGAATTTACAGGCTCCACAAAATTACCAAAGGAAGGCTTTAATAATAATTACTGTACATGTTGTCATGTCAATTCCAACTTATGGCAATCCTTACAGTCTTATAGTACAAAATACTCAGCAGGGTTTTACCATTCCCTTCTTATGAAGGAATCCTGGGACTGTGCCATTCTCTCAAGGCTACAGAGGCTGGCTAGTGCTCAGGAAACACAGTGGAGAATCAAATCACCACCTTAGAAATGCAGAGCTGGAAGGGAGGCTATGGATCATCAAGTCCAGCCCCTCTCAAGGGGCACCGTGGGGAATCAAACTCACAACCACTGGCTTTGCAGCCAGAGACCTAAACTAAGGAGCTATCCAGGCTTTTATCAGCAGCAATTTGACACTGTAGATGAATTGTTCTCATAGTTAACGGCTCTAGTTACAAACATTTCGACTTACAAACCGCTCTGATAGAAAAATATTGACTCGACTTGCAAACTTAGATTCGAGTTACAAACCGAAAAAAACCCATGCAGGAGGTAGGGAAAGCATTAAATTTGAACTTTCAGTTAACCAAGGTCTACCCGTATCACCCGCGTGAATCAGGAGGTGAGGCTGAGGAACCTGACACCAAGAGAGGCCCGGAAGGAAAGAACTAGAAACTGGGCCTTCTCGGTGGTGGTTCCTCGTCTATGGAACAATCTTCCTCCGATGATTCATGCGGCCCCTTCGCTGGGTATTTAAAAAAACCAACTGAAAACATGGATGAACCGAAAAGGGGGAAAAATGCGGGAGAGGCATTCTGGCTTGCAAAGCCTGGGTCAATCAGCAGAACATGCTTTAAAACATGCTTTAAAATTGGCTTCGTTGAAAAAAAAAAGATTTCAAAAGTGCTTTTAAAACTGTTCTCTGCCTCCCCCCTCCTTTCCTGAACGTTTCTTAACCTAAGAAAAAAAAAAGAAAAAAATCCCCCTCTAGTGGCAGAAGGCAGAATAGCAGCTTCCCATTAGTTTCTATGGATAGAAAAGAGCAGATACAGATTAAATGGTTTTCAATGCATTCCAATGGGAAATGCAGATTCGACCTACAAACTTTTCGACTTACAAACTGCCTTCCAATATGGATTAAGTTTGTAAGTCGAGACCCCACTGTAGATGAATTGTTCTCATAGTTCACATGGGCCTGCACAGGATTTCACCCATTGTGTCAATTGTTGAATAAACCTCTCACAGATGAGAATCAATAAAAATATGGTATTTGTAACTATCTCTTAAAAAGAGAGGTGCACTGAAACACAATGACATGACAAAATAGCATATTTTATTAAAGTCAAATCATAGGGACCGACTATCTTCATCATGTCTTGTTTGTGAATTTCCATGTCATATTTGGCTGGAGACAAGAGAAAAATACTACGTGGAGCACTGGTCTCATATTACATAATATTATAACCAGTATTTTTCAATTTTTTGAACTACCTTAGTGCTTAATGCCACTGAAGTCCAAAGTTAAAAGTTAAGATATCTATTTTCTTTGATGTTTTTCTACATCAAGATGCATAGGCTTAGATCCAAAGTTGCCTTGGGACTTGTGGAAAGACCTTTTGCCAGTGCAAGTACATGTAGAAGGGAGGGGTTTTTAATCACTGCATCCTTTCCTGTTTCTACAACTTTGTGCTGTTCAGAAGAACCTCTTGACCCTTTGGAGTGGTCGTTCCCACATGTCTCCCAAATTTTCTTGAACTACAGTTACCAGAGATAACATTGACTGTGCTGGTGTAAGAGGAGCAAAGGATGTGTGCATGTCTCAGAGATCATTCTGTAAGTGGAATGTTTGATCAAACCCTTTAGATTTTGGTTTTGAATTTAAACTACAAAATTCCAAGCACGATTTTGTCTACTGTAATTTTTAAAATACATTTAATACTGTTGGACTGTTACAAACCTAGAAATTCTACATGATTTCCATTTTGTTTGTCTGATCAGGGACAAAAAACATTTTTAAAATTAAGAGGAAAGTAAGTTCAAGATGCTGTTCTATATCTTACTATACAACACTAAGAAAAATGAGGGCATACATTTAGGAATTACATAGTCTAGTAATAAACAAATGCTAATACTGTATTATCGTTACAAACCAAAATGAGTGATGCCTTCAAACACACCATTGAATATCTTTAAACAAAGCTAAAAGATTACTTAGGACGGGAAATTTGATTTTCGTCAGTTGGGCTTCTGTTGAGTAAATGTGCCAGCTCTGTTTTGTTTGCAAGGCTGAGTGAAGAAACACTGCTTCCTAAAAAGGGCATGAGGTTACTGGCTGGTAGCTGAACATTCTTATGATTTGAGGATGTTATTTATAGAACTGGAAACATACAAATGATCTTTTACTTTGTATTAGGAAGAGTGGCTCTAAGCTTTAACAAACAAAGATGCGACTTTAAAATCACATAATTCTTCCATCATTTCCAACCCTTTCCTGCTTAATAGAGGTACTGTATTTCTTAAAAAGGGACGCGGTGGTGCTGTGGGTTAAACCGCTAAGCCTCTGGGCTGCAAGGTTGTAAGATCAGCAGTTCGAATCCACGTGACGGAGTGAGCCCCAATCGCTTGTCTCAGCTCCTGCCAACCTCTCAGTTCGAAAGCTTGTAAAAATGTGAGTAGATAGATACCACCCTGGTGGGAAGGTAACAGCATTCCGTGTAGAGTTGGTGCTGGCCACGTGACCACGGAAACTGTCTACGGACAAACGCTGGTTCCATGGCTTGGAAATAGGGATGAGCACCACCCCCTAGAGTCAGACACTACTGGACAATTTGTCAAGGGGAACCTTTACCTTACTTCTTAAAATGTTGCAAAATGTATATGTATGCTTTTACCTATCCCGTGCTGCTCTAGGTTTTCAGCCACTAGGAAACAAAAAACTGTATTCTAGCAGTGCTGTAAGTACAGAATAAAACCATAACATTAGTAACACAAATATAAACTTATAGTAATATGAAGGGATTGAATACAAAGTAAAACCATAAAATTACATTACAATTGTTCTACTAATGGGAACAGTTTACCTCAGAAGACTAGGAAAGGGGAAAGATTCTGCTTGTGGCTCTCTGTGGAGTCTCAAACTGTCTTCTTTAAATAATTCCCTCCCCCCAACCACAGTGACAAGTCACCATTTGCAAATTTCTTGAGGAGTCATTTTCTAACATTTCAAGGCAATGCTTTGTGATATGAGACCAATGTTCCATCTGGTACATCACTCTCATCTCCACATATGCCATGGAAATTCACAAACAAGACATGAAGGAGACAGCTATTCCTTATGATCATCATCTGACTCAGAATAATAAATCTTATTTGAAAGACAGAAATAGCCCTTATCCATGTTATCTTCTAGTTACCATACTGTTTTTTTTATTCTAAACAGGAAACTTACTTTAGGCACTCTCTTCCTTGGAAATGTTAAATTGATGTAGTTATTAAAGATGAAGTTGGTTGCTTTAGCAGAACAACTATCACTTCTTTCCCCATTTTGCTTCGCCACAGTACCTGTTCAAAAATTAAAACAAATAAATGAAATTAAGAAAATTGACTGAAAAATACATATTAGGCTACAGACATACTCCTTAGGCAACTAGACTGGAATTTACACCCCAAAGGCAAAAAGCCAACTTATCAAAAATGTTAACTAAATACTCTACTGTTTGGGCAGCAAATTTTATTCATGCCTACTTTGAAGTATTAGCAAGTCCCACACAAAACTGCAGATAGTTGCACTGACTAATTACATCACCAAAATGCAATGTCATGTTCCAGTATTGGAAATGCAAAGGCCAGCAATCTGTAATGGTCACCTCATTCCATTTTGGTCCAGCAAGCTCTTCTCTGGTTCAGATTTTAATAACAGTTGGAGGTGGGGAAATCTTAAATTCCTTTTCTTTGCACCCATATTTACCTTACTTTTAATTCTGTTGCTCTTCTACTTCTGCTATCAAGTCAGAATCAACTTATAGTGACCTAATGGGGCCTTTCAAGGTAAGTGAGGCATTTAAGGAGTGGTTTTACCAGTTCCACTACTCCAGTGAGTTTCCATGGCTAAGTGGGGAATTGAACCCAGGCCTCCTGAGTCCCAGTCTGTCACTCTGTCCGCTACATCACACTGGGTACTTAAATTCTAGACATGGTAATATGGAGAAATGGTTCCATCATCTTGCAAGACCAGATGTACACTGGGACATGAAGGATCTTTTTAGTACAACAGCACATTGAGACCACAGAACAAGAGTAATCAAGTGTGGAACCAACAACATTCTCTGAAATACTACAACAGCAGTTTCCAAACTCTGGGGCATCATGGATACCTACTTTTTATTTAGAAAACCTTATGCTTCTCCCTTGCATTAATTCATTCATTCATTCATTCTATTTCCCATCTGGCTGCCAAGGCCACTCTGGATGGGTAACAACAAAATGAAACACTAAAACTGACATCTAACTTCTTTAACAAAAATATTACATAATTCAAAATCCTAAATAAACAAGACTTAATAAAAATTGAATCAAAAATAAATGTGTGTGGGCTTTCTTGCTACATAAAGTTAATGAACATGTGTCTATCCACCCCAGAAATTGGTTTAAGCTGACAAAATATTCCTTTGTCTGTTTCTTTGTTTGTTTGTTTATGAAAATCTCAGTCTCTTGCCCCCTTGGAATTTCTCCACACCTCTCCGGAGAGAATACTCCACTGTTCAGGAACCAATCCACTATTGTTGTTGTTGTTTAGTCATTTAGTTGCATCCGACTCTTTGTGACCCCATGGATCAGAGCACGCCAGGCCCTCCTGTCTTCTACTGCCTCCCGGAGCTGGACCAAATTCATGTTGGTCGCTTCGATGACACTGTTCAACCATCTCATCCTCTGTTGTCCCCTTCTCCTCTAGCCCTCACACTTTCCTAACATCAGGGTCTTTTCCAGGGAGTCTTCTCTTCTCATGAGATGGCCAAAGTATTGGCCTTCATGGATTGCTGCCTTGTCGTGGCGAAGGGGCTTGAGTAATTCAGAGAAGCTATGGGCTATGCCGTGCAGGGACACCCAAGATGGACAGGTCATAGTGGAGAGTTCTGACTAAACGCAATCCACCTGGAGCAGGAACTGGCAAGCCACTCCAGTACCTTTGCCAAGAAAACCCCATGATCAGAAACAAAAGGCTAATCCACTATTATGACTTCCTAAATAAGGAGAAATAATGCTGACTATGACATCCTGCAGTCCAAAATAATTTAAAGAAGAACAGTTTAGGAAAACTATAATACACAGTTAAATACATTAAACATTCCAGAGCAGTTGTAATGAGGCTGGAAGACAAACTTTGGCTCAACTTCAGAGTCAGTCATACAGGCTGTAAAACAATCAAAGCCTAACTTCATTTTTTAAGCATAAGGGCAACCTAGGCCAACTTACCCACTGCTCTCAGAGGTGTTCCTCTGAACAGCTCATAGAATTTCGAGAGGTACATGACCATACTGAGTTTATCAGGCTCACCACCAGACACCATCTCTTTTCCAGTAGTGACGGGAGGAATTCCAAACTCTCGTTCAGCAATGTCAAATGCCAGCTGGTTGTTTCTGACAGCATCTTCTTCATTCAGTGAGTCAAAGTCACTTGAGTTTTGTAAGAAAAAAGTCCTACAGTGAATATTCTTTACATATTTAAGCAACTTCTTTCCTCTTCAATAACTTGCTCTATTTCAGAAATATTTCATAAGAATCCCTTGTGTCTAAACTAGAAGAGGGCTAGCTCCTCTGACTTTGCTACTATCCATATGTACATCGATTCCCCCTATAGTCTGAAGGCATGATCCTGAAGAAGAGAACATCTCCACATGGAGCCTTTCCATGTGACTGGGGTCCCTGACTTTTGAAAGCTTCCTTATGTAGCAGACTGTCCCACCACCACCACCAGACTCCTATTATCCATATGCACAAAATTACTACAGAAAAGAGAAAGGTGCTCCCTCTCCTCACATGTTCAGATTTCCCCTTTCACACGTGCATTAGGGGAGAAAGTAGATGAAGACTGCACACCACTTGCTGCAATGAGGAGACATTGGATTGGCCTAGATTGTATCTGCTGCCAAATGAAAACAAGTCCCATGCCCTTATAATGTTAACGATTTCTCTTTCCTGTGCAGGAAGTTTCTCTCCCGTATTGTGGAAGCTTTTTAACGTGAACAAATTTTCCACATATATCTTTTATGATTAAATAAAAACTTTTATGGAACTATGTGGGAGGAAATTAAAGACAATTAAATTAAATTAAAGACTAACATGTAGGATATAATGTTCCCCAGGTAAAAAAAAAATTCAAAGCACAAATGCAAAATATTCTGGTCCCTATGCCAGGACCATTTAGAAGTAGAAAGTTCTGAGTAAAAAGGTGAAAAGACTCTCATCACCACTCCGAAAAATCAGCAGAGACAAACTGGAAGCCCATCAAAATATTCTGCTGCCAGCATAATGGCACAGTTACAGAAATACACAGTTTAAAAGAAATCCTTACTGGCTATCATACTCAGAACCAGATAGCATTCTTCCATATGATTTAAGCCCCATGTATAATGCATCACAGCTATAAACACTGGATAAAGAAGGACTGCAGTATCCACAGGATCAATACCCACGGTTTCACTCATCCACTGCCTGAAAACAATCTTCCACATCCCCCAACCCAAAATACACGTTTCCAAGTGTATTACTAGAACTGATGACTATAGGGAACCAGAGAATATGCTCTATACAGTGTTTCTATACCTGCACCTTTCGGCATCTATGGGGGCAGGGGGAGAGAGCTTGCAACCAATCCCCCACGGATTCATTGGTCCTACTGTATTACATTTTTTTTTTTAAAAAAATATGCCTTTCCACTTCCAAAGCCCTGGAGAAATTCAAGCTGGGTAAGTCATCAGCTGCATCGTGGATAGGTAACCTTTTCCTTTAACAAAACTTTATGGTCAGAATCTGACTGATTAGCTAAGCCAGCCTGCATGCAAAGGTATAAATGGCAGCAGTGATTTGCCATCAGTTACCTAGTTGCCACTTAGGAATCCCTCACTGCACACCCATGCTTGCAACTAGAACACAGCAAAGGATAAAAGAGGTGACCTGGTAACAACTGGCAATGTGCTGCTGCCAAGTCATATCATTCCACAGAGGCTGGTATAACTAATCAATGGGATTCTGGCCAACAGTAAGTAAAATAAAAACCACAGGAAAAGGAAACAATTACAGTGACTACAATAAACATGCACCTTTGGAAGGCATAGACAGGAAAAAGGCACAACCGACTATTCTCGGTGTGTGACCAACAGAGAAATAAACAAATGGCCAAGTGTTCTGTTGGATGCCTCCCAAAACAGAGTTTAAATACTTAACATGGCAGCCAGTACTATCAAACTGATCATCCAAAACAAATTCTAGAATTCGTATGTATTTATTCTGAGATGTTTTAAGTTACTCCGAAACGTTTTGGTACAGAAGTAATAAAGTAATAAAAATATACTCTCTTCTCAATACACAAACATCCTCTTCTGGTGTATGTTTTCACTGTAGTCATTTCTTCTTTTGAAAAAAACATTAAAAACTTAGATTCTTACTGAAGTAAGCAAAAATTTAATGTAGTTAACCTCTAAGTAGTTATTTGAACACTATAGTTTTAGAATTGGGCCAAGATCATCTGGAGGGGGAGCTAAGCACAGACATGCATACAGTTGCAAAAACAGATGTTAAAAAGGGAAACAAACTCTATAGCCTATACTTTTTAAAGGAAGCTGGCACACCCTGCAATTACCAAGCACGACACATACATAAAAACTTACATGAGGTCAGGTCTGAAGTGATGTATAATTGCGCATAAAGCAAGTCCACTCCTCCATGAACTAGTGAGATTCATAACAGAAATATTCCTGTAACCCTCTGTCTGTTTCTGGCACCAGGTTAAAAGTTTGTTTGGCCTTATATCTGATTCTGAAATGAGAGAGTCGTTGTAAAACTTATGTTCACTTGTTTTTAAGTAACAAGCCGCCTATTTATGAGTGGTAAAAGGCATGCTAATAACGGAACATTCATTTCAGACCTTGTCTTGAAAGACCAATTGATCTTCTAATGGAGGTTGTTCTTTCTAGGAGGCAAGGCTGCAACTCATTTGTGACATACAAGTGCTTCACCTAAGGAAAGACAATGACAATTCCACACAATAAGCATCAGCTGCATCTGACATGTCTTTTATAGATCTGGGAAAAGTTACTTTTTGGACTACAATGCCCAGGATACTCCAGCTGGTATTCTAGGAGTTGTAATCCAAGGAACCAATTTTTCCAAGGTTTGGGTTTCATTACTGAGGTGTTCGCCCAGGTCATGGATATTCATATACTATCTGCATAGACCAATGGGAGTGCTGGAGGGACGGAGTCACAACATATAAGAGAGCAGGAGGAGGGGGAGTTTTAGATTGGGAGATTGAGAGGAGAGTGAGTTTTGGAGTTTGGGCAAGAGAGTGGTGGTTGAGAGTGGACAAAGGAGGATGTTTGTTTTAGAGTTAACACATTGCTTGACGTATCAGCATATGGCCTGGACTTGGATTATTAATAATAGGTAATGTTGATGTAATCAATTGGTGGCAGCTGAAAGACACATAGCGTGAGCTCTTAATTTGGTGAAACAAGCAGGGGCCACGTGAGGATCATGACAACTACCAATCTCAGACTTTCCAATTATTCATATTCACAATAGGAATGCCATGCCAATGTTATCATACCAGCCAATAGCTGGGTATAATCTTTACCCACACTTTTGATTTCACTATTTAAAAAATCAGGTAAAACTGGATGTTTGTTCATTACGAGTTTCAATGTTGTCTCCAAAGTTGCATTTAATGCATGCAAGCTATTTTTTTCCTGAGGAATTTAAAACTGAGCCAAGTGAGGTTTGACTTCTTTTTGTATAGAAGTCCATCATTCCTACAGCATTGTTTTGCTGCACTTTCTTGTTTCAGATCCTGTTTCAGCTCACCTGGTGTGGGCGAACACAGCTTGAGTTCAAGTTTGGATAGCGAGTGGCAGGGTCAATGGTGTACAGGTCAAAGTTCTTAGCTATATTTTCAGGTGTTGTCTGGGGCAGCAGTCGATAAATGCTTTCTCTGGAAGGTAGAAAGAAAGAATTGTATGCAATTTTTAGATGCATACATTCTCTTTTTTTAAACCCAAAGTTTGCAAAAGTTACTTGGCACAATCTAGAATCTATTTGAAGGACCCTGGCAGTTAAAGTCCCACAAGGCAAATTTTCCAAGCTCCATTGTCACCTTACATGCTCCTGCCTCTCTTTAGAATGCTGGCACTTGGGAACAGTCAGCCTAAGCAAAATAAACATTTAGGGCAGGACAAGTAGAAAGGCAGACAAAAGTATGCTTTTCTGAGGCACAAAAATAACTATGAAGACATGAAATTACATCATCGAAAATCATCTGGCTTTGATTTTTATTTCTCACACAGAACAACTCCTTTAACCACAAAAGAGTATTGGAGACAGAGGCACCCAACCATTATTAGTCAGCCAGACTTCCATTTGTGACTGAACTGCGCTTACTGACATCTACAAACATGCTTTTTCAGCCCTTATATGACCCCAAGATCAGCTCTTGACTTCATCATTACCACAAACAATGCCTTTCCCAAATAAATACACAGCTGCTCTTTCCCCTGCCATAGGAAGGGACAAATGTGCAGATGAAATCATAGAATGGCAAGAAGGGGAGGAGAAAATGAATGTGGACGTGGCAAAACCCAGAAGTGGAATAGTTAAAAGAGAGAAATAGAGAGACACTGCATAGCACCAACACCAAAACAACAACAACAGTACTACTACTACTACTACTACTACTACTACTACTACTACTACTACTACTACTACTACTACTACTAGTAGTAGTAGTAGTAGTAGTAGTAATAGTAGTACTACTACTACTAGTTGTTATTGTTGTTGTTATAGCTGAGATACATTGTAGAAGGAAGAGAGTAGTGGAGCTACTGGGCATCTTATACATCAACCCAAGAGAAGATATTGTCGTAGTGGTTGCTCCAGAGATTGCTTAATATTAACACTCAAACCTCCAAGCACATAGATTTGAAAAGGAACTATTAATGATGAAAAAACACTGACAACATTAAAGTTATACTGCTCTTGTGTGGAATTTAGTGTCCCATGAGTTGAGTTTCCCACACCCAACAGCATTTTCAACTTCTCCCCTACCCCACTTGGTTCTCCGAGAGAAGCCATGCCATCAGCAAGGTAAGCTAAATGGATTTTGTTACTATAACAAGTGAACAGTATGCAAGAGTTAGTTTCTTCATTCCAAAATAAACCATAACATGTTCAGTTAAATGTGTTCCACATGCGTGCAACAGCAGCAGCAGGAAATACAGTTCCGCATGTACAATGTTTTGCATCTATATACTCCATATCCCAACAGCTATGCAAAAACATAAAACTATGAAAAGAGACAAAGCATTCAAAAGCTGATCTCACACAGTTCCATCAACTGGAGAGATCTATGTGAATAGGCATTCTCAGCCTGGATGTTCATATTCAACCAACAAAAGTGACAGTACAGGAGAATTATGTGACCTCAAGGGTGAGGTGTAAGCAGAGGCCCATTCATGATACGTATATATGTTTGAAGTAGGCTTATGCTGCGGAGTATGATGCTTTGCTACCACATGCAAGCAGAAAACTATATTATCTTATAAAATTATTCACACATTCTTTTTTTATGTGCTTTAACGTGGTCTCTTATCAGGGAAAAAAGTACAATATACTACAGCTGGAGGTTCATATCTAACTAAGATGGGGGACAATGGAGGTTATTGGTTTAGGTGGGAAAGCAGAGTTTGCTCTATTTACCTGGAATGCATGGGAAGAAAGAGACAGGCATGCCTACCTTTCTGCAAGAATATCAAGAGGGAGCTTTCCTTGTGCCCAGCTCTTCACCATCCATGCTGTGTCAAACGCAGCCAGGAACCCTCTTGCACAACCAGTGCCCATTGGCCAGAATGGCTGCAAAGTGATATTTATACTTTAGACATTCACCTCCATTAGCACTCTACAGTTGTATTATGATCCACTTTTTTCAGAAGAGAAGAAAGTATGCCCAGTGGCATTATGACACATTCCCACTCAAAGAGGTGGATTTAGTTGACAGCGCTAAAGATCTAGCACATTTCTCACTGGTAGAGAAACTGTACCTGTAACTCATAAACCACAGAATGGCTCATAAACCCATGAACCATTGGTACAACCCTCTACTTGGTTGTTTCATTCAGACCAGCTGGAATAGCTTCTTAATTCAGGTCCTAAATAATCTCTTTTGAACAGAATGAATATTTAGCACTTTACAATATTTACAATTAGCAAAATCATTTAGTGCAATTGAAACAAAGTAACTCATAGCCAATAGGCTAAGTTAATCCAGTATGCTTTGTACTGACCTTAAAACTTCCAATTTTAAATTAAGACAGAAAATTTGCAGCTCTCATGTATCACCACAAATATCTTAATATACAACAGCTACAAACAATGAAGTATTTCTTGCTGTCAAACAATGCTTAGTGCAGTGATTCCTAACCTTGGGTCCCCAGATGTTCTTGGAATCCAACTCCCAGAAGCCTTCACCACTAGCTGTGATGGCCAGAATTTCTGGGAGTTGCAGTGCAAGCATGTCAAGGGACCCAAGGTTGGTAATCACTGACATAGTGTTTAAATTGTCTTTCAGAGAGAGAGAGAAAACACACACACACACACCTTACCTCTAACAGACTGTCTCCAACAAGAGCGACCAACAGTTGATATCTGTGCCTCTCTCGTATTAATGCAGCATTTTCAGAAGCATACATGGAAGTGAAATCGAACATGGCTACATCTGGCTGCCCATAGTGATTAATTGCAAAATCCAAGGCAGGCAACTGGTAATCAGTTGCAAAGTCAGCAGCTTCTCTGGCATAGGAGAGCAGATTGTCCTGGTCTACATTTTCTGAACAGAGCAGCATCTCAGTGTCGATATAATCCTAAATGAAAAGACAAACCTGTACCATTAGGTTTTCAGAGCTTTCCAAGACAGTCACATAAAATAGACTGTCTTATTCCACGTAGTAAGAACAGCCAAGATAATAATATTCATCTTGAATAATTTTTAGTTATTTTTATTAGGATTTTTTTGTGAAGAAAACCTCTTATCTCATGCTACATAGTAGACATAGGTCTGTGTGTTTAGTCGTTTAGTCGTGTCCGACTCTTCGTGACCCCATGGACCAGAGCACGCCAGGCCCTCCTATCTTCCACTGCCTCCCGGAGTTGCATCAATTTCATGTTGGTTGCTTCGCAGACACTGTCCAGCCATCTCATCCTCAGTCGTCCCCTTCTCCTCTTGCCGTCACACCTTCCTAACATCAAGGTTTTTTCCAAGGACTCTAGACATAGGTCTAGAGATAGACAATAAATAAACTGAAAATTTTATGACTTTTTTTTTACTTTCTTCTCAAAACAGAACTTTTTAAAAAGTCAAATACAACTCACAAATTCTTTACAACAAGAGACAAAACAGGTCAACATTATCCAACAGAAGTCTAAATAAGAATCTGAGGAGTTCAGTTTCATCATGTCTTACTTTTCTTTCTCTGCCACAAAACTCTTGAAATGCTTCCCTATTCTTTTAGTGCAAAACATGGAAACGTTCAGGTACATACTTGCTTAGAAAGTGATGTAACATATAACATTATGTGGCAGGAATGCAATGCAACCATTCACAAATTCTTTACAACAAGAGACAAAACAGGTCAACATTATCCAACAGAAATCTAAATAAGAATCTGAGGAGTTCAGTTTCATCATGTCTTACTTTTCTTTCTCTGCCACAAAATTCTTGAAATGCTTCCCTATTCTTTTAGTGCAAAACATGGAAACGTACAGGTACATACTTGCTTAGAAAGCATAGGTACCTGTGATGTAACACATAACATTATGTGTCTATGCAGGAATGCAACCATTCTACTCTGATAAGCTGCTTTATTGGCCTGGGAACGATTCAAGTGTCTGCACATTCCAGCCGTACCACTTTCCATGCCCAGCTCATGGGACAATAGGAACTAAGACCACCCTCTTTTCCAGCTTTTCAGTAAGTGTACACAGCTCTGTTCCAAATTTGGACCAATTCATAAAGACAAGAGATAATTACATCTGCACCATCTTTTTAAATTTAAACATATCCATCCCCACAGGTGAACTGAGGTTCAAGAAAGAAGAAAATTCTACAGGCACCCATGGAGAGGATATGTTTAAAAACCATGTGGGGAAAAAGTGTTGTTGTTTTTTTTTTTTAAAAAAAGAAAAGCAGATAAATAAATTTTAAACATCTCCCAGATATGTGCATCAATCCCCATCTAGACTGCAGCCACGCATACCTACTCCAGCATGGAAAAGTAAGTAGTCTTCAGATATACAGTGTCTAAAATCCAACAGTGTAATTTATACCACATGAGACTGACAGTCATCAACTGCAGCATTTTTTCAGAAATTACAGATAAAGAAAGTAAAGTCCTTTAGGAAAGAAAGACCCAAAAGACACATATGTGAGAAAGATTTTCCAGAAGAAGTGATTTTTAGAAATTAAAGACTTCTCCCCCATCCCTTGGCCCCCAATGGCACCCTCATAATGTAAGGAAACCCAAGGAAGCCTCAGGCCCTGGGTAAGAGATTGGGGATGTTTAATGTCCAAAATAACAAATCGCTACTAATATTATTAGCCTTAAACATCATAAGTTATACTGCTGGATTTCAGCCACAGTATCTTCAAGACACTGTAAAATCTGATCCTTAAACTGCAATACTCTGCAACATACATATGATCTATGGTTTAAGGATTTCTCACGGATCAGAAATCAGCATCGAAATAACTTATACAGAAGGAAGGCCATAGTCCATATTTGGATACATACATTAATAATGACTCCCTTGTCCAGAAGGCTCTGTTTTTTTGCAGTCATCACAAAATAGTGGGTGCTGTCTTTATAGTAAACAATATTCTCCAAGTCAATTCCTAGGAAGGAGGAAAGGAAATTTGTTATAAAAGCAGATAAACAAGGACAGGGGAATAAGAAAAACAGGAAGGTACACTTTTAAGTATACCATCCAGCATACACTCCAGGAGGCAGTGGAAGACAGGAGGGCCTGGCCTGCTCTGGTCCATGGGGTCACGAAGAGTCGGATACGACTTAACGACTAAACAACAACATACTTAAAAGAGTACAATTTTTCCTCAACTACTGCATTAAGATTCAGTCAATCTGGCATAAACATATTTCTTTGCTGAAAGGGGCACAGTCAAAATTTGACCTTATGTTAATTTCAAAGCACACTGTGAATCAAAATGATTCTTCAGTCGTGTGACGACAGTTGCTTTCGAAATCCATTCAAATAATGTTTCCCATCTACAGAGCTCTTGCTCACTGGAATTTGTTCATATCCAAAATATTCTTAATTGTACATTTAAGAAAATTCAAACGAGGAGGGGGCAAAACAGTGTTTTGGCATCTTAAAGCCTAACAAATTGCTAGACTCCTGTCTGAATTGCATTTTATAAATCATAGAAAAATACAACTCTTGAACTATTTCCAGTTTCCCTCAAAGCTCCATTTAAGGGGCTGGTTTTGATCTGTAAAGCCGTGGTGTGTTTTTCATCTGTAAATGCCTTGGGATGTTGAAGTCTGATGCCTTGTATGTATTTGCCTGGAGTCTGAAGTCCTCAGCAGAGGCTCTCATATGTATATCTCCACCCTAAGAGACCAGGCTAATGTCTACACAAGAGAGAGCCTTGTGGTTGCTCGTAGATTTTGTCATGTGCTGCCCAGAGAAGTCAGATGGGGCCTCTCCCTTTTGTCCTTCCATCATCGGACAAAGACCTCCCCTTTCAAGGCAGGCTTTTTAAGCAACAAGTGGGAGGGGGGGTTTCCTCAGGAATGTTATATGTATTAGACTTAGAGATTTTTAAAAGTTTTAAAAAACACTTAGACTTTCTGGCAGTCCAAGGTATCCGCAAAGCTCTTTTCCAGCACTACATTAAAAAAAATTGATTTTGTTTTCCTCTCAATTTTCTTTACTGAGATAACACTACACAATTAGCACAGAATACTACTGTGCAACACTAATATTGTATATGATGCTAAAGAATTAATTAGTGAACTAAATCTGCTGAGAAGCAAAGAGAAAATACTATGTTCATGAAAAAATGTTTTCAACCAGATGATGTTCTAAGTTTCTAGAACTTTCTTTCCCTTTATCATGTAATACTCTGTGCAAAAGCTACTTCTAGGGTCTAGTCTAGTCCAGAAGGGGAACTGGGATGGCAACATCCACACATACCATGGTGGCAGCCTGAAATCAGTCTGCTTGTAAAATTCCATAGGCATGGGCCAAGGTATGTGGCTGATTCCAAGAGTTTTATCCGGTAACTGACCATGAATTTCACCTACAGGCATAGAATTTTCAGGGAAGTATTCAGAAGGCTCAACCGCTTATCGCCAGGGCCTCCAGACTGGCTCCATGCATAGAGTCAGCCTGGAACATTCAAGTATTGGTTGAAACAGCCAGGTAGCAACTCTATGCACATCTACTTGAGAGTAAATCTTGATGAGGTTTCAGAAAATATAGTCTATGCATTAAGAAAAATGTGTGCTACCTAAAACACTTTTATATCATTCAAGAAGGCACTGATGCTCCAGCAATGCCCATGTAGAACCTGAATGTGAATAAATGAATCTGCTTCCATAAGATTGAAAGGAAATAAGAAAAGCAGATTTCAGTTTCATAACTGAGATATACCTGTGGCAGAATGAGATCTACTGACTTGTTTTACTTTCTCATGTTGCAGAATGAAAAGATCACCTACCTGTTTCTTCTTTCAGATCTTGGAAAAATTTTTGATTGAAGATGAAAGCAACACCACTGATCTCCTCCACCTTAGCTTCTGCTGTTGTGTTTCTGTTTATAAAGTTAGCGGTGATAGCAATAGCCAGCTTTCCACGGAATTCCTTTCTTTTAAAGCCTTACAAGGAAAATAAGCCAATACAATTTGTCCATTAACCAGGCCAAACTGACAGCTGGTCAAAAGATCCCCAATGCTAGAGACCAGCCTTTTCCTTCAAAAGCTAGCATCAAGGCTGAAAAAAGTCTATGTCTAAAAGACGTGCAACTTCTAGCAAAATTCTGAATCGTAGTATTTTCATCTGCTTTGACTATTGCAATCAGTCATTTTTCCACTTCTCTCTACCACACCGCTTATCAGCTAAAACTACAGCTAGTACAAGAAGCCACATCATTCTATAAGTGTAGATGTTCCACCCAGGGTGAATAAAAATCAAACACTTTTTAAAAATCAAATTGATTTAAAGTTTCTAAAAAATCTTTATTTAAATCATTTTTAAAATTCTGATTTTTAAAATTTAAAACATTATCTAAACTGGGATTTAAATCAATCAAATCCACCCTGGTTCCACCATAATCAACATGTCAAAACTCACTTCTCCACTTTTATTACACCCTTTCTCCTCTTAAAATCAGTTTTTGGCTCTGCCTTTACAAATATTTTTCTTCTTACTCCACTGCCATTCTTCTTTTTCTTTGTCAATGATACCTATTCTCTTTTCCTCCATTCGGTTAACACCAAACCCCAACAGATAGCTTCGCCTAGCTAAATAGCAAAAGGGACAAAACAGGACCCTGAGGGACCCCACAGGCCAACAGTAACAATCTATATTTCTGCAAAGGACCAAAGAACTATTTGTGTGAATGCAATAACCAGCCAAGATTTTGCTTAGGCAGGCATAGCTCCTTGTAGAATAACCAAGCTCTAAACTGCTAATATGCAGATTAGTACTGCTTGACCGAAGGAATTTAATATGCACTCAGTGCAACACTAATGGAGTGTTATAGAAATGGAATTAATTAACTAATTAAAGCCAATGAGAGCATATACATAATTAAGTTGATTGACATGATATGGCAAGAGATGCTTAGCTAATGTCTCATTCAAAAGCAAACTCAGGCATGTGAGAACAATACTGCCCCAAATCCTGCTGCGTGGTATAAGGCAAGGTATACTAAAGCAGACCCATTGAATCTGTGGGGATCTAGTGAGTCAGTCCTCCATAAGTCCCATTGATTCAAATAGGCTTGCTCTAGTATGACTTACTGCACTAAACAACAGGATTTCTTCCACTGAATAATTACTACAGTATTTTGCAGTCAGTATAGAATGTTCTTTCTTTCCTTCCCGCTTTTATATGCCATCAAATATTTTTATCAGAATTTATATTGTGTCTTCCTAAAGTAATTCCTTGGATTATCTTTGTGAAATGTCTGGCAGATAATGGATGTCTTCATTCTGAGCACTCAGGATTGAACAAGAACAAGGTGTGCCCTTGAAGATCAGACTCATCAAGTATTTGACTAGTTCTTATACCATTTCTTTAGATTTTTATACATACATTGCCCAGAACAGTACTGTGCACTATTGGAGTGGTATATAAATGTCAGAAGTAAGTATGTATGTATGTAAGTAAGTGCGTAAGTGCGTAAGTACGCAAGCAAGCAAGCAAGTAAAACCTAGCATGTTTAGTATCAGGTTTTATTTTGATGCAATATCAATAAGTGCATGACGATTCTTCAAATCAGCAGGAAAATTACAATTTGCCACATTTTTCTAAGACTATAATGCTACAAGTTGTAATCCAGTTTAGTACATCATGAGCTGAAAAGCAGGCAGGCTATTTGCCATTAAGCTGCAATGTTAACATCATGTGTAACTCACCTCCCAAAGTGTTTCTACGGCCATCAGCCCCAATAATGACATCAAATTCAAATTCTGATAGATGATGATCCACTGGGAGAAATTCAGCCCGCCAGCCTATTTCTGAAAGCAACAAAGCCTGGCGATCAGAGGAGTGTCTCAAACCTTGTTAAGAATATTCAGTAAAGCCTCCCTTCTATGGATGGAAGAACCATTTGTTTTTGGTCCAGTTAATATGTACTTTCTGGCTTAATACATAAATTAGAATGCAGTTATCCTTTGGCACACACGCTTGTCCAACTGTTGCAATTTAGTCCTAGACTCAAAACAAGATGAAAAAAAAATCCATACACTGGAGGAAAAGTCTACAAAAATATTTCATTTTATTTTATGAGGTGAAAAATATTTTAGAAGTGTGCTTTAAGAGGAAATATGTACAATTTAAAATGTAATTTTCTGTATTTTCATTGCAGAAAGTAGGTTGTAACATTCTAATAACCAAGTGGGCATGAAACATGACAGAAATCTATCCGTGCCTATGAGTGTCGGCACAATCCATCTGCTTCCTTTTCTTTCATATTTAGACTTTTTACATTCTGCTGAATTCATATTAAAAACAGACTGAAATGAATTTAAAACACTAAAGAATCTTGTGACGGTTGACACAATTCAAAGGTTCTATGCAGTATAAATTTCATAAGTTATTGTTCATTTTATTTGATACACGGAGTGTAGCTTTAGGATACAGACACTTATTCACATGCAGCTGGAGTGGGGTGGGATATAAGAAAAAAGTTCCTTTCCTTTAATGTGTGTGCATAAGAGTCTGCATAGTGAGGTTACACTCCAACATCCCATGAAGAAATGAGCTGCAGTCCATGAAACGGCCATTATCAAATAACATTTCAGAGAAGCCTATGCAAAGACTGTCACTGATCCATACAGAGGTCCAGAAACATTTTTGTCACATTTAGGGTTCAACTAGACAGCCCAATTATCCTGGCCTGGATTGGTCTAAATTGTATCAAACAGGATCACTTTGAGGTGCAGTACGCCATCCGGGGTGATAATTGCAATCACATGCAAGGATCAACCACATCACATCTCAAGCAACCCCATTTAGCCTGATCTAAACTGATTTTCTTTCCCTTTAAAAGGAAAGAAAACAGAAACAGAAATAAATCCTTCTCCTGTCTCCTCTTCTCTGAGTTGCCTACAGCTGTATCTTTATGTAATTACTGTAATCAAATATGCAAATTAGCCTCTTTGACCCTCCCTCTGTCCTTTCAGCTTTGACTCTGAGAAATGTGCCCCTTGGACCACTGGATTATCTGAAAACTAGCTTTTGGCCTCACTGAGGTCAGCCACTTGAATACCACTATAAAGGGATTATTGATCAACATTACCAAGCAGGAACAGGACAGGGAATTTTCATGCTAAGCATTAATATTATCAAACCCCTTTCTCTCACAACAAGGTAAGAGAGTTTCCTGTGAATTAAAAGTTCAGGCTCAGTTCTAGTATGCATTTAAGTCTGACAACAGATATTTGATATAAAGTTTAGCCAAAATGTTAACAAAATATTTGCAAAAGATCAGAAGCACACATGCATTAGGTAAAACATGCTATATTCTAGATAGGTTTTAACTGATGAGCTAATTTCCTGTACAGTTCTTTCTCAGTAAGTACAATAACATACTTTGATTTTCTTGATCTTCAGGAGGTTCCAGAACCTTCACAAACTCTACATTTACATGGATTTCAACTCCCAGCATCAGTGCAATCTTGAAAAGGATAAGTTGAAGCTGCCTAATGCCTATGGGAACAGAAATACAGTAATTGAAAGATATAGTCCATCCTTTTCTTTTTAAGAATACACATTCAGCTTCTCTCTTTAAATAAGGAGAGGGGGAAACCCTGCTTTTGTAACACACTGAAACCCCTTCAGAAACAACGCACATCTTTGCTGCTATTTCCTGTAGAGGTAGCAATTTTATTTTCTTTAGAAGGATAAAAATTACTGCTAAAAAGTGAACTAGATGATATGTTAACTTGTTTGACATTCATGCAAGAGTATATTTGGCCGAAATCCTGTTGCTTTGCGTAGTAATTCACAATTAAAATGGGCCCATCAAAGAAGTGGAATCTACAGAGGAGTTGACTCACTAAGTCTCTGTGGGCTTGCTTTATTTGCAGTTTACTATAATAAAGAATAGGATTTCAGCCACAAAGGACTTAACGTTAAAAAGCTGCTTGTTTAGGACAGTTTGGGTTTGTATGTGTGTTACATTTACATCCCGCTTTCCTCTTTATAAGTTCAAGGTGACCTCACTTTTTTGTTGTTTTTGGTTTTTTTGAAAGAATGACTGACCCAAGGTTACATAATGGGTTTCACAGTTCACTAGGAACTTAGAACTCCCTTAGTTTAACTACTATTCTACACTGGTTCTTCAAACACACATACACCACAAATAGCCATTGAAAATTTCCTTTAAAATTACCTGCATAGCCAAAATAAATGTTTAGGAGAACAATGCTGATAGGCACAGTACTCACAAACACAGACTATGAAGGAGTAGAGTGCAATATTCAATTAACTCTCTCCCACAGCATCACCTTCTTCCAAAAATACCTGCCATAGACTGTTTTCTGCAGTGAATACTGACTTCAGAATTTGAATGTGCTGTAATTGGCTGACACACCATATAAGAACAGGAACTGTGACCCCCCTCCCGACACAAGTTCAACAGAATTCAGCCAAATGTGTCTGCACACAACTGTGTAATGAATAGCAATCAATATATCTGCCATATCACCACAAAAAATATTAACCATGAACCTTCATGAAATATGCATCTTTACATGAAAGAAAACAAACCTGTCACTTGGAATCAATTATACTTACTTATATGATCAATAGATCCTGCACAGAACTTTCCATAAAATTTTTTTGCTCCCAGACTTCGAAGGTCATGAATAGTAAAAGGCCAAAGGTGAAGCACATTGTTTCTTGAAAATGTGTCCCGCTTTTCCACAACAACAACTTTTGCTCCTAAAAAGGCAAGTTCTATGGCAGTTCGCAAACCACAGGGTCCACCTCCAACTATCAGACACTGCAGAAAGAAACACAGAAATGTTCACTGTAATGATCAGCAGAAATATATTTTAAATGCTGAGGTGTTCCACAAAAAGCTGACAACAAAGAAGATCTTCTGCAACATTTGGGGAAGGTTCATCCACTGAAGGCATCAACACCTCAGACTTGCATTACAGTACATTTACTCAGAAGCTGGCTATCAGTTGTGCTCGAGATCTCTTGCCTTCCCTGCAAAGCTTGCCTGCTTTTAGAACTCACAGAAGCAAATGTAAATGCTATTCTTCAAGGGCACCCACCCTGTCCATATGGAGCTGGCATACTAAAAAAAATTATCTCAAGTAATGATGATCAGAACCTTTAACCACATGGTAATGCCAGCAGAAAACTGCTTTGGTTTGAACTTGAAATTCACTAGGAGCCTCATAATTCTCTGTAAATAACATTGATCTCAAAACACAGTATAAAGGCACATAAAGCAGCCACCATGAAGAAACTTAGTAGGTTTGGGGTCAGTACTTGGGTGGGAGAAAACATGGGGATCCTCCATGCATGTAACTGCTTAGCTGCTTCAAGTTTAATTATAGAAAACAAGAGAACGAGAGAGAGAGAAAAACAGAGAGAGAGAGAGAATATTTTGTTTTAAAAAACTTGTTCTTGGTTTTAAAATATGAGTACATTAGTACACAAACCTATTTCAAATTACATATCAAGTAAAACAATTCTAGCCAGCTAAGCATGTACTTTGTGAGAACACACAGCTACCAATCTGATCGACAAAACTGGATGTGAAGTTGCAAGTGCTATTTTTAATAAAGCCAAGGAGGCAGAAAGTGTGAAAAACTTGTACTTTGACCAAAGTCAAGAAGTAGTTACAAAGCTAAGTGCTTGTGTTTGTGAATCTCTGGATCACAACATGAAGCACAAACCCATCTAGTAGAAAATTTAGTTGCAGAAATCAATTTCTGCACACCTTTCTCCCTCTTAGTGGATAAAGCGTATGGTTTCAAAAGCCAAGATGGTTGCGACAGAGAGCCTCAGAGTCTCTTCTCTGCCCTGGTTAGCTACTATACTAAGAAAATAAGCCAACTGACCCAGTTATACGGATGGGGATAAAAACCTAGCCCACATGCTATCAACATGAGGGGAGCCAAATGCTTGGCTGAAGGCTTGTGTAGTTGGCTACAATTAGTATGGGAACTCTACATTCTGACAAACAACACCCTTAAAATGGAACAGTTGTACACAACATTTATCTGCTCTCAACAAATGAATACCATAAATGGTTTAATCCACTTTGGGGCTCCAAGAGAACAAAGCTCCATATATAAACAAGACCAATTAGAAAAGGTGACTCATTCGAGATGATGCTTTCCAAGGAACTACTCCTTCATCCCTATAATAAGCTCTGGTTCTTTTCTGCAGTCACAAGACAAGAAGAAAAGTTCCTCCTGCTGTTTCCAAAGCATCATTGATGGAAAACCCTTCAAAGTTCTAGTCTAACAATATTCATATTTTCCGTCATCAGCTTTTTTATTTACACGTCAGTGTATCCATTCTAGTATGTTGCTTATGTCAAAGTACTCTGGAGACAAAGAAGCAGGACTCTTAATAAAACTGAATTGCAGTTTCTTTGCAGTTGTCGTCAAGCTGGAGCCAATTTATAGTGATCCTAATAGGGCTTTTCAAGGTAAGTGAGATGTTCAAGGAGCTGCTTTAGCAGTATCACATCTTCGATGAGTTTCCTTGGCTGAGCTGGGATCTAAACTCAGGCGTCCTCAGCCCTAGTCTATCCCTTTATCCACTACAACATGGTGGGTTCCCCTTGGTATTGTTAAGGCTTCTACAAACAAGATAAGTGAAAACCTGACTATTCTCGTGCTTCGGACTAGAACAGAAAATCCAGGATTCTTTCTCTCCCCCCCCCCAACTTCTCACCAATCTTTGAAGAAATACAGTCTGGAGACACAGGGCTGAACACTGCTGTGAAAACCAGAAACGCTCCAAAAAGAAGTCCTCCAGCACCACTGAGGAGTCTTCTATGGACATGGCCCTTCTGTCCCTGACAGGTGCACTGAGCGGGAGTGTGCTCTGACTTCAGTCTGCTGACAGAAAAGCTGCCTTCCCCTCCCGCTTTGCTTATTCACTTCTGTTCGAGGGACTGGACTTTGTGGGAGACAGAATTATTTTAATAAGGAACAGTGTATGTTGAGATAATAACAGCCTTGCATGCTTTGTAACAACGTATTATCAGAGGGAAGGAGGTTTTTAGGACCTCAAGGGATTTGCTGCTTTTCACTAAGTTATTGCTAGTTCTCCTTCCTGCCTCTGGCTTGCATCTTCTCTCTCTCTCTCTCTCTCTCTCTCTCTCTCTCTTTTTTTTATCTCTCTCTCTCTGCTTCATTTCCTTTTGTCTCCTTCCACTCCTGATCTCTGGTCAGCATGGAAGGTCTCTCTCCTATGTGGCTGAGACACACATCTCTGTTTTTAAAACCTTCTAACTATAGACAACAACTGTAAGATACCTTCTCTAATTTCCCCAACAGTTTCTGGCTTGGATACTGTCCAGCATCCAAGTGAATATTTACTCCTGCATAAATGCGCTGATTTAACTCAGAGCAGCAACTGGCCTTTCAATGGATTTCTGATCAAATTACTAGTCACACATCTGGTGTGATACTATGAATCCAATCAGGATTTGTTAATTAGTGAGTACTCACCACCACTGCAGGTGTAAATATGCTTGGATTCTAGCCAATGGCTTTTAACTTTAGCATGCTTGATATCAGAATAATTTTGTGCTTCCTTTCTATCCGTTCCTTCGGTGGCCATGTTCGTTAGATGATACAACCAAGCCCAAATCACACAAATAAAATTTATTTTGATATTACTTCTATTATAATCATTTGGCAAGAAAAGCATGGCAGAAGTTCAGAGTATATCAGTGTGTGGATATGTAAATAATGGAACAATTTTTAATAGATGATCACTTTCCTATGCCAGCCCAAGACACCTTTTGCATGGTGTCTCTGGTTTCCTTGACGCACAACACTATATTGCAGGCTGAAGTCACGATCTGTAAGCCATAGTCTGTAAAGTTTAAACTATTTATTTTAACCAATTAGGTCTGGGGACCAAAGCTTCAGGACTACTGCTGTAAACTGTTCAACACTCAATAACAATACAGTAGCTCCTGATAAATCTGATTAATAAAAGAACACCCTTCCACTAATTTTCCACAATCTATCAGACACAGATGAATACCAATCTGACACAATTAGTTTCTTAGATTTTCCATTTCATTATTACATAAAATAGTATTTACCTTGCTCTGCAGACACCTTCCACATACAACTACAGGAAGTGGTTGGGATAATACTGAAGAATCAATAAAGAAACTAGTTCACTAAGAACCTTAAAACAAGAAAAATGTAATAGTTCATTGCTGTCACAGCTCTGTGTCTCCACCTGCTGTAGACGTCTAAGAGGTGTGTGGATTATGTAGCCACAGTCACCAGACAACTCTTTAGATCTGAATCTACAAAACTTCTCCTGACATTTATCAAATCAGGCAAAAGGGGGGGGGGTTGTTCCCAGTACTTTACAGGTCATTAAATTCACAGAACATTAAACTCATCAAATCATTTCACTTTTTTTCTGCCTTGGGTTACATTAGAAAATATACTATGGCTGTCCAACAGCCTGCTTCCCTAAAATATCTTAAATAAATATTAATACAGATCTTTAAAGAATTTTAGCTATTTTAGCTGTTGCTTGAACAAAGATTGTGTTCCCGTGGCATTTAATGGCATTCCTGGTTCCAGCTGAATATAAAGCAATAACCACTAATTACATCAACAAAGACATAAGCACAACATCTGGATAAAGTCTCATGCCATATTCATCACTGACAGACCCACTTCCATCTGCGTGATTCAGTAGCATTGTCAAATTATCAAGTTCCTACGACAAGGAATATACTTCTAGGATTAGGCCTAGCATAAATGTTAATTTTCATCTGTTCTTTCTGTGATAAGTTTGTACGTCGCTCTCTATGCATCTATATGCTTCAAAACCCAACAAGGGCCAGTACACAATGACTGGTGGATTGCCAAAGCTTTTATTACCACTGCTCTGTCCTCTAAGTTTTCTACATGCACTGGAGGGTGGGGCACAGTTTTCACTATATGAAGCTTGGAAGAAACTTTCCCAGTGAAAGTGTTCAGCAAGGACAAACCAGGGATTCACAGTTTTTCATCTTCAAAGTTTGGTAAGAAGTGAGAGAGCAGCTTTTGACAGCAGGCTTGGAAAAAATGTTTCTCTTGTGGCAGAGTCCAATGGATACTTTATCTGCTGGACTGGATCCATATATTGAAATAAAGCCATGTCAAAGCAGAGTGAGGGTCTTCAAAATTGACTATTGGTTGATTGACTGATTGATTGCACTTCTAGACCTCCCAACTTAGTGAAATACTATTGAGGGCGGTTTACACAATTAAGCAAAACATGCAAACAAGAGACCTCTTAGTTTCAACTGTGGGGAATTTTGGCATCCTACGCAAGCTGGACCTGCCTTTGTTTCTTCCCCACCTGCTGCTCCCCAACCACTGCAACAGAGGATCAGGGAATCATTTTTCAGGGATAGGGCAACTGCCAGAGAGGGCTGTGAGGGGGAGGTTAAATTCCCCAACAGCATGACTGGGGGCTCCTCCTCCAAGTGCCACTGGCCACCCAAGATTGGACAACCAGCAGGGATTCCCATGGAGTCTCACTGCCGTTCAAGGGTGCCCATGACGACGACATCCAGTATGATTGTGGCAGCTAGCAGTGGCCCTCCTCCCAGACTGAATCCTCAGCAAGCACACAGGGGGGCCCTGGTATAGTTAAAAACAGAGCCTGAGCTTGCTGTGGAGGACACAACTTGAAACTTGGGTCATTTTAATCCAGAGTGTTGGAGTGGAAGCTGCAGACTGAGGAAGCATTAAATGGGCTGTATGGATCTAAACCTGTCATCATGTG